TTTTAATACAAATTGAACTAGAAATAAAAATCCAAACTGAACAATAAATATGGGACGGAGGGAATATTAAATATAGACATTATCCTTCGGGCTACATTTATTAATTTATTACTCATGTAAGGATTCACTGTTTTAGTACACTGGGAGTGTCCTTTTCTATGTCCATTGTCCAAACAGGTTTTCATGTATAGTCAAAGATTAATGGTCATTTCCGAGGCGACATTTTTCTCTATTAGATCCGTTCACATTCCTTGATCCACATTTTTGTGTACTCTGAATTTCTATACATTTAAGGAATGAAGGGGTACCCCCAAAAAAGTTGAAAGTTTACACAGAAAAGGATGGTTAATATTTTTTTCTGTGTGATATTTAACCCAGGCAGCAAGAGCTGTGAGTCCGAAACTTCCATGTTCAGAACAGAAAACAGTTGAATTTTTACCTTCATAAATCCCCGTTGAAAAAGTTGTTAATGATTAAAAAACAGAAGAAGTCAATTTATCTCAGTGCAATCGCCATTAAGGAATTTCTGATAGATACCCCCGTACTTCACCGAGAAGTACAAATTAATGTTTTCATTTCTTCTAGTAAAAGTTACCTTATTCTTTGAAAAAAAAAAAAATTGAAATGCCAAGTGCAACAATCAAATCTCAGAACTCATGATAAGAGCAATAAAATACATGGCCCTTTCACTACACTCTCTCACCCCAAGTTTTCTTTTTTAAAAACAAAAATAAATATTAGATAACCTTAGCGAGAATTAACCATCGGCCTCCTGATAATAATCATCACTTATTCTAACTCCCTAATCACCCACCCAACCCTCACACCAAAAATTAATTTATTCGTATTGCGAAAAAATGATCCTTCAAATATAAGTTATGGACCAACATCGAATTTTTATCCAAAATTCTCTTCATCTTATAATTTTGATAATATTCTATCGGACAGAAATTTTTCCGCCAAAATATATAAATTTTCCTGACAGTTAGATGTGGGCGGAGGTTTTATTTAAGTTGATGAATACTACGGATGTGATTTCATTATGTAATCCTATTCTAGTAATATAAAAAACACAGTTACATCAGTCACACATGCAATAAGTGGGCAGCCAAAGCCATCAACAGGGGGCAAAAAGAAAAAAGGGAACAAATAAAAATTTAGGGTTGTGTAGTCCTTTAAGGGAGAATCTTAGGAAGTGAAGTGTTATTGGAAAATAAAATACTATTGACATTGATATCTAGAGAAATTGACACTTTTTGACAAGATTGGGTTTTCCCCTTTAGCCTTCAATTTCATCAGCTTGTCTACGAGGAATTAATTACCATCATTTGGTGTTAATGATGTCCAAATCTACTCATCGTGCATTATATAACTCAATAGTACTAATTTATTTGTAGTACCATTTAGAATGAATTTACCATTAAAAATAAAATCTAACAGCGCCGTACAAAAATTGGCAATCAAATTAGGATACGGACAATTGATAAAATGAGGAGCGTCAAATTCAAAAAATAAAAAATAAAAAAAAGGAAAAATATGAAATCTGTGAGGCGGCTGGGGGTTCTGGAAGTGGAAATGACTGGATACACTGATACTGGTACGTATTAGGACTAACGTGACTAAAAATCTGGTATTAATGGCAAATGCACATTATAAAAATGGTAAAGCCAGCCAGGACACTCTACCTGCATGGATACAAAACAAAACCATTATTGTGCTAGGTAGTTACAAAGCTATGCCACATACTCGATTTTTGTTTTTTAATAATATATATTTATATATTTTTTGGTGCATGCATAGGTTTATGGCTAAATAATTGTAGCTCCAATTTTGAAACTTAGAAACTAGAGGCAAATTTATAATCTTTGTAAATATTTTCAATGTCTTAAAAATCTTAAAAGAAATATCTGTGAAATGAGCAACGATGGTCCTATTGAAAATTTCATCTAAAATGTGACATCACACAATGTTAGATTGGTATGTTCAAAATAACAAAGATGTTCTTATACATATCTCATGTTTTTTATATTTATTCATCACTGTATAATTTTTTTTTTTTTTTTGGTAACGCTGGAACCCCACCAGAGATGGATAAACCCATGCCCACTGCAATAGCCTGCAAACCACAGTGAGAGATAAATCACCATAGGCAAGCCCGGGGTGACAACCTTGGTGTGAAATCGAGAATTCATGAGTGAATTTGTCATAACAAGCCCTTTAGAGGTGTCAATTGACAATGTTAGAGCCACGTCCTCACTCTTGTTGGAGTGTGGTTTGAACTCATCATAACTTCCTTTTAAAAGTAAGGATGATTTTACCACTGAACTAACACCTCATTCGCTATCACTGTATAATTTCAATATCTTATTGTCATGTTAAGTATACCGCTTCACTATGTAAATTAAGTGGACACAAGGATAGACAATTAGATATATAGTAGTAGGCCTTAATAAGAGATATGGTAGATTTTCTTTGGTTGAAGCCTACTTTATCACCATTTTTTTTAATTGATTTTTCTTTTTTTTTTAAGAAAGTAGATGCAATAGTAGTGTTATTATATCTTTTTGGGCATTAAGTAGGTGTCATGGTGGTTGGGCCTATATGCTACTTGGCTTTTGATTGCTTTATCTTCAAACTCTTTCATCCAACCACAAAAAATACCATTACCGGAAATTGGAAAGGAAAATAGGAAATTGAGAAAGAGGAAAGACAAAAGAGAAATCAATTATGAATTTTTGTGGGGGACCCTTTTTCCTCTTCCTCTTCTTCCTCTTCCCTAATGCAACTTCATAGTAGATCACCATCATCAAAGAACAAAAGATTAAAAAAAAAAAAAATCATCATCATCATCAACATCCCCTTCCTCCTCTTCTTGTTCTTCAAATCCTTATATATATATCAGTATTAATTTACAACATTTATCAAAATTCTTGATAATGTTTTTTGAAAAGGTAAATTCTTGATAATGTTAATCAATAAATAATAATAAAAAGTTTAGTGGAAGGAGACGTTTCCTCGTTTTTCAGCTGTTTGTATCTTCTGACACCACTTTGATCATGATATAGCATTTTTTACCTAGCATATTTAAAGTATAGACGAAACAAAGACACACACAGACACACAGTCACACACTCCCTCTCACTCAAAAAAAAAAAACATCTACATCTCTCTCTCTCTCTCTCACTCTGAAAAAAGTTGTAGCTCATCAAACTAGCAGCACAGGTTCCCTCTGGCTGCATCAAATGATTTGAAAACGAAGGTCAATATCACCACTCCAAACTTCCCTTCGTTTCGATCCAAATTAATTCGCAGGTACACTCCGTCCCCCCTTCCCAAAAACAAATTCTGTACTACTACTACATCTTTAAAGGAAGAAAAAAAGAAACCCACACAAAAGAAACAAGATATATATATAAATGCAAGGAATTATGATCTTCCCAACAAGAAATAATGAGAGCCCTTCATCAATTTCATACATATGGCAAGAAGGTATTCATACACATATACAGATTTTTAGAGAGAGAGAGACTTTGGGAAGATATTGATATTTATACAATTATATACTGTCTGTGTTATTATCCTGTGGACTTAATTTGATGATGTGTTGTTTTTTGATGTTCTTGTTCTACTTATAACTCGTTGGGTAAATATAACACAAAAAAAAAAAAAAATATTTGGTACTACGTCCATTAAAATGTGTGGATAAATGAGTGAATAAAAAAGATGGGTATCTTTTTCTCAACCTTTTTAGTTTTTAGCCACATCCATCTCTCTCTCTTCCCCTTTCATTTGTGTGTTTTCCTTTTCTTTTTCCTTTGTTGGGGAAGATAGATATATAGAGATATAAAGAGAGAGAGAGAGAGAGGGACAGGGAGAGAGAGCTCTGGCAAATCTCCATAGTTTGAGAGAGAGAGTCATTGATTTTGAATCTGACACACAGTCACACAGAGAGAAGAAAGTGATGATGATGATGATGAAGGGACTAATTCTAATAGTACCATAGCCTACTATAGCTTAGCTACTATACTATAATTATCTTACATAAGACTTATATATATTATTTTATGGTCAGATCGCCAAGTTTATCCATGTCGGTATGGTCACTTTCCTCCGATTCTCCTATGTTTTTCCAACCATATCTCCATCTATTTCCTCCCCCAAACAATCTAATGGAGTTGTATGTTTTGCTTGCCTCGGTTCCGACGACCGGATTCTTATTAAATTCCATCTTCTCCCTTGATTTCCAGATGCCGATGACGAGGATGACGACTGCCGGCACGATGAGGGTTTCTCATACTAGCTAAGAAAGGTACGTAATACATATATACACCGAAATCAACCCAGATTGTATAAAGAATATTATTTCTTTGTAGAGATGAAGAAGGAAGTGTTAGATATATTGTATTATTTTAATCCCTCCTCAATTTGACGTGTTAATTAGTATATATTATCTGCTCTTAGTAGCTTAATTGATGAAGTTTTCATCTTCTTCTTTGCTTAAAAAAATTTAAATTATTATAATAATGATTGTTAACTTATTTCTACTTTGAAATTTCAGGCCTTATCTAATCAAAAGAGAAGACTATTAAGTTCAAAGGCTCCCCCACAGTCAATCACACCAACAGGATTTTCATTATTTTTTTTTTTCCCTTCATAAAATAAAAGAAAAACTTTCTATTCAGATAGTAGCTCCAGCAACAGCAAGCAGCAGCAGTAGCACCAACCAAATGGGTTGAATATTAACTCATTTTCCTACAAAACATCAGTCATCCACAACTTGGCCTAAATCATTGAAAAACTTTCCATTTCACCAAAAGGTAAATTTATATATACACTCAAAATTAATCAATCAATATGGATTAGTTGGATGTGAAGGGCTGCTCTATATTATCTACATATATGGTTTCTTTCTTTTTCACTGATTGATGACAATAATTCTGATGCAGGTAAAAAGGTATCCCAACAAATAATAATATTAGAAATTTTTTTCAAGGAGGCTGATGGCGACGTACTATCATGGGAATCCGGAAATCCAAGGAGGAGGCGGAGGCAGCGGCGGTGATGGTTTACACACTCTGATTCTAATGAACCATGCTGGCTACGTTGGATACTCCGACAACCAACAGCCACCTCAGCAGCAACAGCAACCTCCTCCTCCGGGCAACTTCGTTTTCCTCAACTCCAACACTCCTGGAGCTGGAGGTGGCGGTTCAGCTCACTCTCTCAACTTCACCCACGCGCCGCCTCCCTCCCACACCCAACAGTTTGTCGGCATCCCTCTGAATGCCAGCGCCACCACCACTTCCGTCGCTGAGCAGCAGCAGGACATCGCCGCCCTTCATGGGTTCTTCCCTCGGGTTCAGTACAACTTATACAGCCCAACAGCCGTGGACCTTGGAGCGGCGCGTGATATCTCACATGCCCCGCAAGGTCTTTCTCTCAGCCTCTCTTCCCAGCAATCCGGATTCGGGTCTTTCCGGCTGGAACGTGATGCGCCTTCTCAGGCTCAGGTGAACGCCATATCGCCAACCAGCGGCGGTGGAGGCGGCGCTGGCGCTGATGACGTGAGGGTTTCGGGCGGATCATCTTCGTCGGCATCGGGAATTTCCAACGGCGTCAACGGCATGCAAAGTGTAATTTTGAGTTCCAAGTACTTGAAAGCAGCCCAAGAGCTTCTTGATGAAGTTGTGAGCGTTGGGAAGGGAGTGAAAAACGGTTCGGGATCGGCCAAAAATGGTAACAATAATGATGGTCAAGCCAATGAAGCCGGAGAGTCGTCCGACGTGGCCGCCGGGGCTGCCACCGGAGATGGCCAAAATGGTAGTAGAGACAATAACTCCAAGCGTGGCTCAGAGCTGAGTACCGCCGAGAGACAGGAAATTCAGATGAAGAAAGCAAAACTGGTCAACATGCTTGATGAGGTTAGTTCATCTTTTTTATTTTGCCATTTATTATGTGCAGTTTTTGATTCTTTCTGTACAAAAGATTGTCAGTGGGAATGGATAGTACTGAAAGTGATTTTTAACTTTCAAGAATGTGTAAGTTAAGGTCTCCATCAATGGGTGAATAGCATCAGATCTTTAGGAAGAGTTGCTATCAGATCATCATCATCATCATTCCTCATATCCCTCATGAAAGTTTCCGCCAAGCCAAGTCTCTCTTTCAAAAGAGAGAAACCTTCCTTGAAAATCTAACTTCAAATAGAGTAGGATTTGATTTTACTTTTATTTAAAACATCTGTGCTTTTCAAGTGTAGTTACCAAGAATGGCAACTGATTGATTATCTCTCTCCCATCCTCTGTCCCTTTGTAATAAATCAATCTGAACAAGTAGGTCAACTCCCCACTTTTTAATCCAATTTAATTCATGGGGATTGTCAGATTGTCAGTTTCTCAGGCACCCTTTTTATTATTATTACTGCAGCCTGCTAAATTTCCGCTTTCATTCCTGAATAAAATAATACTATTTCTTTTCCTAATTTGTTTTTATCTGTGAAATTGGGATATGAAGGTGGAGCAGAGATACAGGCAGTACCATCATCAAATGCAAATCGTGATTTCTTGGTTTGAGCAAGCAGCCGGAATCGGGTCCGCAAAGACTTACACTGCCCTGGCTTTGCAAACCATTTCAAAGCAGTTCCGGTGCCTCAAAGATGCTATTTTAGGCCAGATTCGAGCTGCCAGCAAGAGCTTGGGCGAGGAAGATAATCTGGGAGCCAAAATTGAGGGCTCCAGGCTTAAATTTGTTGATAATCAGCTAAGGCAACAAAGGGCTCTTCAGCAATTGGGTATGATCCAGCATAATGCTTGGAGACCCCAAAGAGGTCTGCCTGAGCGCTCTGTTTCAGTTCTTCGTGCTTGGCTCTTTGAGCACTTCCTCCATCCGTACGTTCTTCCCCACACCCCCAAATTCTTTCTCTATTACTAGTATTCGGCAAGATGTTGAATCGATCTCATTTTGGAAGAATTTCGTACTAAATAACTTTAAAATGACATGCAGTTATCCCAAGGATTCCGACAAACTCATGCTTGCAAAGCAGACAGGGCTTACTAGGAGCCAGGTACTTAGAAAGTTGCAATCTTTATAGTTAAACATTGTATTGGTATTCCTGAATTGTGAATTGGACAAATTTTCATCTGGGTGTGGTTTAATAATCATGATTCAGGTATCCAATTGGTTCATCAATGCCCGAGTTCGACTTTGGAAGCCGATGGTGGAAGAAATGTACATGGAGGAGATTAAGGAGAATGAAAAGAATGGGTCCGAGGACAAGATGAGCAAAAGCGAACAGAATGAAGATTCAGGGTCCAAATCCAATCCTCTTGAAGATAAGACTTCCATCTTGGAGAATCAAAACAACAAAGGTTTCATAACAAAACAGGACCACTTCACAAACCAAAACATCAGCGCGAGTCCTGTTTCAGTTTCCCCTTCTACTTCCCCGACTGGATTAAACATTCACAACCAGCCAGCTTTCAACCTCATTGGATCCCCTGAAATGGATAGTATGACACAAGGAAGTCCAAAGAAGCTTCGAGGAGGCGTCGAGATGTTGCATTCCCCGAACAGTGTTCCGTCATTGAGTATGGATGCAAAGCACAATGACTCAAACAATGACCACCTGCCGATTAAATTCGGCGCCGAGAGGCAGAGCAGGGACGGGTTCTCATTGCTGGGAGCACCAACAAACTTCATTGGAGGTTTCGGTACATACCCAATCGCTGATATTGGCAGGTTTAGCGCAGAGCAATTTCCAGGGCCATATTCAGGGAATGGGGTGTCCCTGACTTTGGGACTACCCCATTGTGAAAATCTCTCGATTTCAGGAGCTCATCAGAGTTTCCTCCCTAACCAAAACATACAATTGGGCAGAGGAGTTGAAATCGGCGAAGCAGACGAGTATGGCAGCTTAAACACCCCTACATCTAGTCACTCGACTAGTGTTTACGAAACCATCAACATTCAGAACCGAAAAAGGTTCGCCGCCCAATTGTTGCCAGACTTTGTAACCTGAATAGGTCATCATAGAGCAATGGTGAGAACACACAGGCATGGTCTCAAATGCTGATGATATCAGGCTATCTCTTAATACTACAAGAAGGGAATCCCATATAATATAGTGTAAAAACAAATCAAACATATTTTACTCCATAGTATAGTATAGGTCTATACTGTCCACTTTTTCCTAAAGTACTTAGACAGCATAGGTTTTTTCATTTAGATGTCATGGTTGAAGAAGATTGTATATTAATTTTGTCGCTGTTAGATAAGATAGACGATTGTTATAGTGTATTGGGAACTAGTTATTTTTGGGTGGTATAGAAAAATAATGGCGAGTATAATTACTACATCTATTAACAGTTCTCATTTTCTTCTCTGATATGATTGTATGCTCCTCATTGAAAAAATACAAAAGGATCCTGACAATGGAAGTCTTAGCTTGCAAGTTGCAGGAATAACAAAGGGGAAAAGGAATCCACACTCCTAGCTAAAAGTACAGAACAAAAGTATAATAAAGACAATGTAAGGAAGACCCATTGTTGTTGCAGGACCATGGATCAACCGAAAAGGAAGTAAACCAAAAGCGGAGATTACCTATGCGTGTAAAATGCAGGTCTGATATAAATATTATACTAAAATATGGTGGATCTACTATAAATGGATGATTGCTTGCCCCATTCAAACACTTCACTGGCTTTTTTGAGCATCAGTGTCAAAAGTTTTTCGACTGCTTAAGGACCACCGAGGTTTTTAAGTCGTAAAGAGTCTTTAGGCCTTATCAACTTATCCTAGAAAAAACGATTCTTCGTCTCAGATGCTATGTATGGATTGATCAATTGATGTAAACCTCACCGACGGTGATTGTCTGTCCGTTTGCCCTTTGTCCTTTGGCTTTAGTGCAAGGCATCTTCATCAGGGGCCATGGCAACATAATTCCTCGAAAATGCTCTTTACAAGGCATGCCATAGTTACCTATTCCAACAGATAACAAAGATTAGTTTGCTCACTTCATTAGTCAAAGGTTCGATTCTTTATCACTGTCATGATTTCGGTACTTCAGTGGTTGAGGTCCGATTTCTCTAACCACAGTTGTTGTACCTGTAATTAGCAAGATACTTTTTTTTAACCCTTTTATCACTGCCAAGAAGTTGCAGAACAGTAAAACGAAAATAGAAACAAAAACTAGAAGATCAGGAATACAGACGCAATGCACAGCCTCTCTGGGTAGCATAGACGAAAAAAAGTCGAAGTAGCACCTTGTATACCCTTAATAACGACAGTGTTAGCAAATCATGCTAGATTAACCCGAACAAAACATGAAAACGTATAGCGGTAATAGTGAATAGAGAAACTATTGAGTGTTTAGATGAGATGAAATTACCACATGAAAACCATGCAATTGTTTTGGCATTAACCTGAGATGGAGACAAGTCGGGCATTAACAAGCAATTCACAGAGCTATACATCTCGACGCATTTTCCAATTTGCTTCAAGCAATTAGAAAACGGCAAAAAAAAAATAAAATCGGTTGCTTATACCTACGGAACTACAGGCTACGGTTATCAGCAACACACAGAGGCGAACTTTTTGGAGAACTATCTATGTCATGTCAGTTGTACCATTTTCATCAACAACCAATGCAAGCCTTCTCTTGGCCACCTTGGATCTGTAACACCACACTTCGAAAGCCTCAGTTAAATCGGGATACCGAACATGCTCACAACTCAGCCATTCTGTTAAAATTTCAGCCTGATCAGCCGATGGCAATGTAAGAATTAAGGAGACAAAAGCGGATTCCAAGGATTGCCATATTTCACTGTCACCTTTTACCATAAGATGATTGTCGTCATCAGTGATAACACTATCAGTCAAAGGCTTCATCAGCCTAGCAAATGGAAGCCAAACCTTCAACATCTGAAAGCGCTTTGTAGCAGGAAGGACAACGGTGCCATATCCAATAGCTTCTATAACTTTGGCTGTTATCTCTAGAACTTTTAACTTAGTTTCCAATGCTGGATTTGCTAACTCTACAACTTTGATGGTACTTTCTGAGAGCTCCATCCAGTTGTAAACAAAATCTTTCACACACTCCAACTTGGCCAATATTTGACAAGACCATAACAAATCTGCCAAGTGTAAATGAAAAAGTTGGATTTCGTCTGCCTTAGAAACGGACTCCTGTTGATCACAAAGCAAAGACTCTACAAGCTTCTTAAACCTTGTGAAAATTCTCTTCACAGATTGTAGCACCTCTATCTTTATTTTGTCATCAGCTACCAATATAGGAGCATCATCATCCTCAGTTAGCATGTACTCCAGCTGTTCCTGGGCTGAGGTTTTCAGATCAGTCATTTGGCGAGGGGGTGACGAAGTGGCCAATTGAAGAGCAGATAGGAAAATCTTGAGTATAGCGCTATGGTCAACTGGCTGGAGGCGTGCAAGTATTGGTTCCACTGATGATCCCAGCCCAGGTATAATTTTCAGAATCTCTTCCTCCTCTGATTCTTCCCAAGGGACTGCTTCCAAGTATTCGACACATATGGTAATGATTTCAGGGCACCCCAGCTTGCAAGCTACTTTTAGAATACCAATTGCATTTCTAACACCATGCCACATGTCCGTCACTGAACCATCTATTGGAACATAGAAGAGTCGAAGGATGTTGACGTGGGAATCAAAATCAGATTCTTCACAGTATACCTCAACACAGTTGCGGGAGTCAAGAATTTGGCATGTTGGCCAACTGTCGGATAATCGTTCTGCAAAATATTTGCTCTTGTTTACTAGAACCTGTGAATGACAATATACCCAATCATCACGGCCCTCCTCTGTTCTGAGCCTCACAACAACATCACTGGTTACCCGATCACCCATCCTAAGTAGCAAATTTGATTCATTATGCTGATAAGCATAAGCAAAGACATCAGAAGCAGGAAATTCTCCTGATAAAGAATAAACAAAAGCACTCAATGGAAACAATTCCAACTAATAATTACTCGAAATATCAAACAAGTGAATGAACAGATTTTATATAAATACAGAAAGGATGATCTATTGCACGTATTATCAATGGGAAAAAAAAAAGGTTTTTCTGTATGAAATATAACGACAGTAGAACACAGCATCCAAACATCAAGGAGGAAACCAAATACTTACTGGCAATTCCATGATGCACTCAGAATTAGCCCCAAACATCACTAGTCAGTTTCTAGACAATAAGTTTGCATATCAGATACAAAGGTCTGCAAAAACCATCGACATAATCAATGTCTAGTTGAATAATAATTGCGGAAAAGCATAAGAGAATAAGGTTTCGGCCCATTGAACCAGACCAATATGACAAGAAGTGACAGCTATATCCACAATCATTCAATATGATAGACACGTTATTGGGGTGGGAATGTGCAGCCTATTAAATGAAATATTTCAGATAAGAACTCAATGAATAAAACCCCGGTAACAAATCTGAAAGAAGTGAACTTTGAATGCTCAAAGCTTTCAAAAAGAAATGTAATTCAAAGCTTTCAAAAAGAAATGTAACGACTACATTCAAACTTAAGTTTTTAACTCCAAAAATAAATGCTAAAAGATAATAATACCTTTCCATATACAAAATGATTATATTGATTTCCTTGAACTGAATTTCTAGATTCTGAGAAAGAAATCTAACACCGGTATGAACTGCTAATAAAATACTCCTAAGCCAAGATTCTTGAACAGTTAATTCTGGAATGCTGAAAGCCATTAGAACAAAAGGAAAATACTGCACAGAAAAAAAACAAATAAATCTTCATTCTAATAAAGCAACTACATTCAGAAAAAGGTAATGCTAACCGCTAAGGTACGGGATGAGATTCATACAACTGAAATCCAAAGAACTAACTAAAAATGGAGCAGAAAACCTGAAAAAAAAAAAAAAAACATCATAAAGTATCAACAAAAACTAAAAAGTGACAGAGGTTTGCCATTAACCAATTGGTTGAACGATAATCAATACTCTCGTGCAAGAAAATCGATTCTAATAAACAAAATATGTTCTTCACTCCAATTAAACGTAAAAGAACAGTATACTTAACAAGAAACTACGAAGTCTTCATTGATTAAATTGGGAACATAAAACACAAGTTGAGCAAGTGGGCAAAGGCCAACTCGAAAGACAAAGCATATCCATTTGTAGTGCCCAACGAAATTAACAAACGAATCTAAAATCTTTAAGCCCCCCAGAAAAAAAAAAAAGAAAAAAGAAGACCATTTAGTGTCATTTTGCAAAAACAATAAAGAATTAACTCAAAGGAAACTAGAATGGGAAAAAAACAGTGGCTTGAATTACCAAAGGGGGAAATAACAGGAAATTGCTGGAGAAATTACCGGTAAGGAGGCAATGCTAATGAAGATATTTTCAATTTCCCATCAAATTCACGCACCCTTCTCTTCTGAGCTCATTCTTCACTGTCTTCTATGTCTCTCTCCACTGATATTTTCGGCCAAAGAAACACAAAAAAAAAAAAAGAAAGAAAAATGAACAGAGTTTTGGGCTCGTGACCCACTTTCGAAATCAATTTTGCGAACTACTTTATTTGGGTCACTGAGAAATGAAATTCTTTATAGGACCTATTGGACCAAATTTGAAGGAAAACCTTAGCCTAATGGGCTACGCCTACAATCCAACTCAAGAAAGCAAATTCCGTAATGGATGTTTTGTTAGTCGACTTCAGAATGTTTGATGATATAAACTGAACATGTTAATGAATTTTTTGAAAGGGTAACATGTTAATGAATTGAAAGGTGCCTAAATCGGAATACAATAAATGAGCAATAAAAGGCGTGTCTGATAGATATTAGTACTTAATTCTGAATGTTTAATGCTGAATTAGAATATCCTAGATTCATTAAGCAGATATTAAACAAGTAATAAGCTAACTTTTATTACTTATATTTTGTGTTGCAATTCTCGCACCACTTAATTTATTAACATGTCCAGTTTCTGCTATCAAATGTGTTGAAATCAAAAGGCGTTTGATGTCATAGTTTTAATTTTTAAGTGATGTTATCAAACAAGCATAGTATTCAAAATTAAGCACTAATAGATATGGAACAACATACAATTTCATGTTGTGTTTGTGAGTTAAAAAAATATATTCTCTCTGTTCCAGATTGGATAGCTGTTTTATTTGGATTTTTCATTCTAACACAATTTGATTTTAAAATAAAATTTTAAATTTGTAATCATTTTGAGATGGAAGGAATAATAATGTCATAGTTTTAATTAATAAGTGGTGTTATCAAACAAGCATAGTATTTAAAATTAAACACTAATAGATATGGAATAACATATAATTTCAAGTTGTGTTTGTTGAGTTATAAAAATATATTCCCTCTGTCCCAGATTGGATAGCTGTTTTGTTTGGATTTTCCCTTCTAATACAATTTGATTTTAAAATAAATATTTAAATTTGCAATCATTTTGAGATGGGAGGAATAATAAAGTGTTCCAAAAAAAATAATTCTCTCCACCTTTTTCTTCCCCTTCTCTATAGCCACCCTTACCCAAAAAATAAATAAATAAATAAATAAAACTCTACTCTTTTTTTCACCCATGGTGGATGGAGGAGCTCCAAAATTTTTACTTTTATTTTAAGAGTTTGTTTTATCCATGTGAAAATCTTTTAATAAAAGATTTGCTCCCTCATTCTTAGGGTTTTCGTTTCTTTCTTGAAGAAAGAGTTTCAGTTTCTTCTTTTCTTTTCTTTTTTTCTTCTCTTTTGTGGGTTTCTTCTATAGATGAACATGGAGTAACAGACAAAAAATCTGATAGATTGAACTCTTGTAGGCATCATATATTTGAAACAGTGTCAGATTTGCCTTGTAAGTTAGATCATAATTAGGTCTTCATCGCATTGATTATTTTTAAAATATTTGTCTTGCAATTGTATTGAGTTCCTTGTATTTCAAAATGGTAGTCATAATTTGGCAAAAGAATTTGGTTTGTCAGATATGTACACAATGCTGATTTTCATATTTTCTGTTGTGTCAGATAACGTATGAATCGCAAATTGTAATAACACAATTTAAATTGTCGTAAAAGCAATTCTTCCGGGTTGTGTCATCATTTAATTTAATCATGAGTATCGCTTGTGATTAAAAAAAATAAAATTATAGCAACAAATTGGTATCCGTTGGACAAAAATATTACTCCTTTGGTCCCAAAACTATTATCCAGTTTTGATTTTCATTTTTAGTTCAAATTGTACTAAAAGTAAAATCTCAAATTGGACAATAATTTTGAGACGGAGCAGGGAGTATCTTTCACATGTCGTAGGGGTAGTTTTAATCCACACTCTATCATGCTCCAATTAATTAATTTCTGGTTAATCGTGTGGGAAAAAAATTCTGCAAGGGATAATGGATAGGATCATAACAAGTTGAATTAAAACACACAAACATGCAGACAGTTGAGCCATCTATCTAATTATATTAAACTTTACTAAAACATTTGGTTTGGTGTAGATGTGGGTAGTGGTGGTAGTCTGAGAATTCATCAATTATCTCGGCGGCGGCCGGCCTGTGTATGACTTTAACAGGGAGCATCATCATAGTTCAAGATCTTCTGGACAACGGAAAGTGCTAAAAGTGGTAAGTTTAAGTTAAAAGCAATATAGCTGACCCGTTGACTTGGTCATTGCCCTTAAGAGTGTTGCACATTTTTCTTTTCTTTTTCGTGTTTTTTTTGGTTTTTTTTTTTTTTTTTGTGGAATTGAGAGCTTGCTTGCATTTGTAAATTTAGTAATATTTGAAATTTTATTTCTAGAATAAACACAAACGGTCAAATCATAATCATAGTGTGATACATATAGAAATGCGTGGTGTTTACTTTCTTTTTTATTGAATTGAACAAGAGCGATTAACAATTGATGTTGTTTCTGTATAAAATAAGAATTCGATACACTAATTCTTATTTCATGACGGAGGAAATAGAGTGAGACATGCTGCAAAAATTTTGAAGACGTAATGTGAAAAAGTAAGTGCATAAACACATTTCTGAGGAGAGTGATTATAATATCAACGTGACAAGAACATTCTTTTCAGTACTGTTCAAATCTCCGAAAGCAAGAATTCTGCAGTTTACGTGTTGAACGCCACTCCCAGTCCCCAAGCTCGAAGCCAATGGTCAGGAAATAGTTCAATTATTTCTCGATATTTTCCAAAAATTTAAATAGGGGAAGACTTTGACCGCTGGTTGCCCGTGAGAAAGTGCGACCACTCCATTTTATCTTTGGTTGATGTCTTTGATTTTCTTAACGACTGTAACTATATCATATTAATTGATGTCCATAATACTTCTTTCATTTGCAAAAAATAAGTGCTTGTTTGGACGTCATCTTACATTTCATTTTGCCACTTAAAAGTGGAAAGTGTTTTAAGTTGAAAACTAAATGGAAAATGAAAATATTGTTTGGATGGTATTTTGAGCAAAAAGTTGTTTGGATGTTGATTTTGAAAAAAATATTTTGAACTATATTTTGAAAATATCAAGTACGAGTCATCACTAAACAATTAAATACTGCCAATTATAGTCACTGCAAAAAAGAACTTTTTCAAAAACAATCACTCAACAACAGAATCCTACCAAATTTGTCACTGAACTATTTGCAGTTCTAAAATAGTCATTACACTAACAAAAAGTTTTTCAAGTTGGAATTTAAAATGTAAATCAGAAAGTTGTTTGGATAATGTTTTCTTTTCCATTGGACTTTGTGTTTAAGAGCTAAAATGAGTTAAAATGTAAGATGAGTGCTTGTCCAAACAAAGCCATAAAATTACTTCCTCCGTCCTAAAATTCTTGTCTGGTTTCGATTTCAATTTTAATAGTATAAATTAAATTAGAATGAAAATCTAAACTGGATAATAATTTGGGACGGAATGAATACTTTGTTTATAGTTTACTAAAGTATGATACTCCCTCCATTCCAAATAAGTGTCGTTTTAGCAAAATGGAGAAATTCCAAAATAAGTGTCGTTCTCACATTTCAATGCATTTTTTGTCAAAAGTTTCTAAAATTACCCTCAAAAGAGTTGCTGTTATTGGTGGACAATTTTATAATGGGGTTGGTTGAGGATATTCAAGTAATTTTATTACCCTATTTAAGAGTTTCTTAAACTATGTGCAAAGTGTAGGACGACACTTATTTTGGAATGGAGGGAGTACCGTATTATTTTGGGACGGACAGAAAGCAAAGAAGTCTACATTAAAACTATTAAGTAACCAACACTCACTTCTCTCTCTTGAGGACTTCCACCGCCCCAGCAGACCACAGTCTAGTCTTAAACTCCATTCTTACACGCTCAATTTATTCCCAGCCGCAATCTCTTACCAGAGCTTATCTTCAATCCAAATTCATTCATTCACCTCGCAACCAATTCGACGAAATCCTGTTGTATTTCCTGATCTCTAAATTCAAGTTCAAGTAATAAGTATGTAGTCATGTTGCGTGTGTAAATTACTTACTAGCAACACAAATGGATAATGTTGAAGTTCCCGACTACTTCATCTGTCCAATTTCGCTTCAAATCATGAAAGATCCGGTCACGGCAGCCACCGGAATCACGTACGATCGAGAGAGCATCGAGCATTGGCTGTTGATGAGGCACAACACAATATGTCCAGTTACAAAGCAACCACTCCCCAGAGATTCCGGCTTAACCCCGAATCACAATCTCCTCCGTCTTATTCAATCGTGGAGGAGGAGCACCGGCAATTCCCCCGGCGCTGCAGCTCAAATGGATAAACGAAAAACGCAAGAAACTTCGTTGAACCAGTCCCACATTGATAAACTGATCCGGGGCATTGGGAACCCGGATTCCCAGCTGAAATCACTGCAAAAACTGGAAGCTCTGGCGATAGAGAACGAACCCAGAAGGAAGCAATTAGTGGAATTTGGCGTACACAACGCAGCCCTTCACTTTATCATGCAATGCCACAGGGGCAAAAACACAAACGCTTCAGGGTTGCCCGAAGCCCTTCATGTTCTGTATCTCATTCGCAATTCATCAAACGGGTTGAAGCTATCCCAGATGGAAGATGTTATCGGTGAGATCATTGAAGCGTTTTCATGGGTTTTGGGCTGTGATGGGGAAACTCTGAATAAAACCCACGCCATTTTTGCGATGAAAATGGTCGTTCGGAAGGCAAAATCAGCTCAATTAAGGATGCTAAAACCCGAATTTTTCCAAAAGCTTGTGGATTATGTGAAACAGAGAGGAAATAAACAGGGGATTAACGCGGCTTTGCAAGTCATGCTGGATTCGAGCCCGTGGGGAAGAAACCGGATCATGTTAGTGGAAGCCGGGGCTCCATTCGAGCTAATCGAGCTCGAATTAAAATCCCCAGAGAAGAAAACCACCGAACTGATTCTGGGAATACTGTTTCATCTCTGCTCGTGCGCCGACGGGCGGGCCCAGTTCCTCAGCCACGCAGCCGGAGTTGCGATGGTGAGCCGGAGGATACTGAAGGTGTCCCCGGCGGCGGACGATCGGGCCATGCTGATCCTTTCGTTGATTTCGAAATTCTCAGGCACTAATGGGGTACTGTTGGAGATGCTCCGGGTCGGGGCGGCAGCAAAACTTTGCCTGGTGATTCAATCAAATCGGGAGTCGCATTTGAAGGATAAAGCCAGGGAAATTCTGAGAACCCATTCTAATGCCTGGAAAGCTTCGCCTGAGTGCCTTAATCTTCCCACCCTCACAAGCGACGACGTATGTTGAAATCGCTGATCATCATAATTATTAATTACAGGCGAAGAAAAGTTCCGGTTACAAATATAATTAAATACTTTGCGTAATGGCTGGTCATACACGCAATATATGAAATGATCATATCATATGCATGATTCATGGTTGATCGGTACTGCTTGTTTGACTGGAAAGTTTGAATTTAAAGCCACAAGTACTTAAAAGTGTATAGAGATATTTCGTGACTTCCTGTTGATTGTTCAATCTCCAGAAATCTGGATGAGTGTGACGCTTGTAGGATAAAAGTTACTAATATACCACAGAATTTTGTTACTTGTAGTATTGGTTTCTTTTGGAATAGAATTTAATAATTTATATAACATTTGTCTTTTTTCGGTTAACTTCCAAATCAGATTTGTAATATTGCAGGCCACAAAAGATCTCATACAGGTCATTTTTTATGTATCTAAACTTTGTGTCGACTACTTTTCTTAGAACAAAAGAAGTAAAGTATTAGATTTCGAAATGTTATATGTAAATTATTATAGAGTACAAGAGTTTATTGAGTGGTAAGAAAAATATTACTTCTTAAGTTCTAAAATTATTATTCAGTTTGAATTTTAACATTTTGTTCAATTTATATCAAAAATTAAAATCTAAACTCGATAATAATTTCGGGACGGAGGAAATATATAAGTAAATAGGGCCCATGGCACCATGCCAAATCAATTTTTGATTTTTAGATGATGTCACATAAAAATTTCAGATCATTAAAATAATAAAATTTGAAACATTAACTTTTTTTATTACGAAAAATACCATCAGATTCTTTGCAAACTTTCAAGTCAAAAATTACTTAGCAGCTCCAAGATCCTTAATGGAGGGTAGGAACAAGAACAACACAACTTATTTTTGCAATAGTTACTGCAAACTTGTAACAAAGATGTCACAACTATTCTCCGCTAATCCATTCGCGTTTGTCCCAATCTCCATTAACTTTCTTGCTTGTGAAGATATTACATGCATTCTTCCATGTCTACGTCCGCCCTATGTGATAACACCAAACGCAGGATCCCCTTCACTCCTTTAACTAGGGCTGACAATCCGTGTCGGGTTCGGGTTGGCAGGTCGAGTCGAACCCGAACCCGAAAAATTTATGTCGAACCCAAACCCGACCTGTTTAATTATACAGGTCAGGTTTCCCAACCCTAACCCGACTTTATAAAAATCAGGTCGACCCGAGTCAACCTGTTTAACCCGTGAACTAAAATTTTTAATTCAAAACAATGGTAAAACAGAACCAAACAGAACCAAAGATGAAGAAAATGGCCAAACAGAACAAAAAAACAGAGGACCTGAATCTCAAAACATAAATAATAACTCCGTCCATCAACCACAAATACTCTAACTTCAATCATAGCCAGTAGTAGCACTTTGTAAATTGCCAATTTAACTTACAAACTCACAATACAATAGAAAATAACACAAGGTTACAAAGGCAATTCCAAGAATGTATTCAAAAATTTACATAAAAAATTAGGCCCTCACAAGCTTCCCAATCTTCATCTTCTTCGAATGCTTTGTCACGAAGTGACCACTTTCAACATTCCTACATTTACAGAACACAAATCAATCAACATTCAAAAGTAATCGGCAACAAAAAAAAATCAGAGCTAACAAGGGATTAACCCTAGATCCATCACCAATGTCCAAACAAACAAATACAATTTTTTTTTAAAATACACATGAATCAAAATCAAAATTATCTTATTAATTTAAAAAAGGGATTCGAAGAACATAGACACAAATAGGAGAATAGATCCGAGATGAACACTGATTTTAATCAATTGTTGAGGAGACCTACCTTGAGAAACAATTGAAGACCCCGTCTAATTGAAAAATTTTGAGCACACTCTAAAGATTGGGAAGAATCTCGAAGATCAAATCATCAGCAACAACACACGGTGACGCTATTTTTCCCAGCTCAAAGGCCAAAGCCCTCCACGATAGTTGTTTCCGGCGAGGCCACCGGTCTGAAGAAGAAGAGAGAGTAGTATTTTTGGTTCGGCGGCCGTGAAGAGAAGAAAAAATAAAAGGATGAATGAATAAATGCTCTATATACTATAAGATTAGGGTTATTAATGCTATGAAATTCTACAAATCCCTAAAAATGTATAAATTACAGATAAACTGGTGATCGGGGTAACCCGGTGGGTTGACCCGAACCCGACCCGTATAATAAACGGGGTCCAAATTTTCAACCCTAACCCGACCTGTTTAATATGCGTGTCGTGTTTGTGTCGGGTCATTTCGTGTCAGGTTCGTGTGGAAATTCCGAATCGTGTAAGAGATTGCCAGCCCTACCTTTAACATGTCACCCATTCTTTCAAAAATAAAAATAAAAATGTCTTCTATACGCATAGCATCAATTAAATTAGCCCAAATCCACTCATGTAGTGGTAGAGAGAAAACGGAGTCTCACGGGACAGGTCACACTCTTTCTGTTTTTCCTACTTCGTAAAGATTTGCGAAATTTTAAATAAAACATTGATCCCTAAAACATTATACATTTAGTTCGTTTTTGCACTCACTTCTAATAATATTATAATATTATAGATTATTTTTGTAAATTCCACGCCTCTTTTCTAAAATTTCTTGCTCCGTTGTATTCATCACTTACTATAGAACTTGAAAATTAATTTAATCATATACTCTCTCTGTCTCAAAATGATTGTTCAATTCCAATTTTGATTTTTAATTCAAATTATACTGAAATGAAAAATTCAAACTAGACAATAATTTTAGAACAAATGTGTTTGTATTTTTTTCAACGTATCTCTCCAGAGAAAGTGGGGGTGCAGCCCATGACTAGCGGACTAGCAATCAGTTGTAGCCTGTTAACTTCTGCAATTTAGTCCAAACTTCTAACAAAAGAACACAAGCCCACAACCCACAATCTGATTTTATAGTGTTAGATTAGAGAGAGATCAGGGAATTCCACCGCCTTATCCCACCTTTGAGGAGGACAGATTGGTGTGGAGACTAACCAACTCCGAAAAATTCACAACGTCATCTACGTATGAACTGCTGATGGGAATAGGTGGGAAAATAATAACTGGGACTTAATATGGAGCTGGAGGGGGCCCGAGAAAGTAAAGGTATTCTCGTGACTCTTATTCAGAGGTGTGCTGATGACAAATGCAGAAAGGAAACGACGTCATCTTACAGATGAGGGGTGATGCCATTTATGTGGGAAGAGGAGCGTTTATTCCACATTTTCCGGGACTGTCTCTGAAGCAAGGAGTTGTGGTGAAGCATCAATCCAGGCCTCAGCAACGTTTTCTGGTATGAATCTGATTGGCACCTTTGGATCTCCACTAACCTTAAATCTCCTCTGATGCAGGGTAATGCAAACTGGGCCATCTGGTTCGCAATTGGATGCTGGAAGCTGTGGCGTTCCAGAAACGAGGAAACTTTCAATGAAGCAGTGGTCTCACAAAGATCAATTTTCTTCTCTACATGCGCCATGGTGAAGGAAGTTGTTCGATCCACCAAGATTTATGCTCAAAATAATGGAAACCGACATCACTTGCTCAATTCTCAATCTCAGTGGTCTCCTTCCCCTGTCAACTACATTAAGCTTAATACAAATGGGGCTGTAGCGATCAATAGAGGCTTCTGGGGGTGGTGTACTCAGAATAGTGGTGGAGAATGGATTACTAGCTTTGCAACAAGGTTAGGCTCTTGTAATATCCTTGAAGCCGAACTGTGGGTGACTTTCCATGGCTTGACAATAGCCTGGGAATTAGGCTTTAGAAATACACAACTAGAAGTAGACTCTACTGAGGCCGTTGAGTTTTTGTTAGATGAAAACTCCTCTTTTGTAAATAGCAAACTGTTTCTGAGAGTTAAAAACCCCTTGAACCGTAGTTGGCAAGTTTCCATTCGGCATACGCGACGTCCAAATAATGCCGTTGCGGATGCAATAGCGAAATTTGCCTTGAATTGCCCTTATGGGTGTCATATTTTGTCGACGTCTCCATCTACAATTAGGGAGTATTTAGACTAAGATAGAAGTAGCTTATCATCACCTTCTTCTTAGGGATGTTTTGTACCTAAGTCTATGGCTTCCTTCGTATAAAAAAAGAATAAAAATTAGAGAGCGAATTAAACCCTATGGACTCCACATTTTAAAAAAAAAAAGATTAGAGAGCGGATGACCTGAAGAATGACGTTGACCAAGAATGTGTACTCTTTTAGCCGAGCTATCTATAATTTAATTGGAAACTAATCATGATGGTTAACGGTGAATATCACGTAAATATGCAAAAAATATTTATTTTTATTTGGGCGTTTTCCCACTCTTATAAAAAGACAAATGAAGTCGTATATATAAAATATACCATCACAACCAAAAAAAGGGAGATTATGTAGGTATTTAAAACGAGTTTTTTTGGTCGCATTACACGTGATATATTTGCCGTTCTTATCTGGGTCAATTGATCGACAGCATCATCACGGTAAAGTGGTTTGAGAGCTAATTAAGAAATATTGCAATGGAGGTCCAATAGCACCATGTAATGCATGCAGCAAATCAAAACAATTTCTAGATGATATAGCAAAAAATTTGAATCCATGAACTATTTATTCTTCCCATATAAGGTACAAATTGAACCAAATTTCGTCTTATTTGGTCCTTTCTTTTTAAAGAGGAATGGATAGTGACCCCGCATCCGCACAGTTTATACTTTACATATTCCCTCCTATCTTTATTATAAAATATTTAATTTCGTCCTCCGATTGATCTAAGATGTCTTTTAATCGGAGAAAAAATGTTGAAAATATATTTTCACATTCATTACATTCTCATAATTATTATGAATTATTTTTAAAGTTTTTATTTTATTTAAAAAGATATCATAAATGAAGTCTAAGACGAAATCAAAATAACTTATAATAAAGGCCAGAGAGAGTATGTTGGAAAACAAGATATTCTATATGATAGGGAATAGTTATACCAAGTCATATACACATCATATTGTACTTACTCTTACAAATAATTTGGTATAATACCTAGCGGTATTAGGCTTTTAGCATCCTTGTAAGAAAAATAGACAGTACGTCGGAAACTCTCATTCCTCTCTTTGATTCTAATTTTTTTTTCCTTCCCATTCTCAAAAAAAAAAATAAAAAATGGAATGGTGTAAACGTAGGTATAAAGCAGCCATCCCATTAGTTAAAATTTCAACGACACAATGAGTATGCAGTGCACACCTGCAGTTAATTTGGTTCCTAACTTTTCAAAAGCCAACAAAACAAGGGTAAAGTACGTACTAGAGCTTTCTCTAGATTCTACTCCGACTTGGAGAAAAGAGTTGAGCAACTCCGACGACCAACCTATCCTCATTCCCAAATCCAAAAGGAAATTACGAAAATTGGTAAATTCGTATAACGAAACAATTAGTATAATACTAAAATGACTTGAGTTCAGATTCTCAATAGGGCTATAATTTTGAACACCGAAATGTAAGTCGAAAGAAGAAGAAAAAGAAACAAAGAAATTCAAATAAAACTGTATATTTCGTTTGTTGACGAACTTGTACAATTTATATTTATCCGAATTCTATTTGGCAAGCGATCCTATCCTCACAAAAGAAAACAGGATACGAAGAAAAACTAAAAAAGAAGGCCATGAGGAAAGTCAATCCAATTCAACAGCATGCACAAGCACAAAAAGGATCACGGCTCTCTTGTGTCCATATAGTATTATTCTTCATCCATTCATTCTCCAGGTGCCAGAAATAGAACAGCACACTAATAAGACAACAAATATGGAAAAAAAGAGTACTACTACTTGTTCAATCGAAATATAATTAGGACTTTAGTTCAATCGGGTAAACGAGGGCTTTTTGCAAGTTGCAAAGTTGCAAATTGATAGTACACTTGCAATTACTACGTGAGTAAAGTCAGACACAACTCACAGGCCGGTCAACGGGTTTCCAAGTACGGACTACCACATATTTTTGTATTGACGGCATGGATGAGGAAATTATTTAATTTCAAAATCTCAATAATCAAATTAAATCCAATGGATATTCATTCTTGTGAGGATGGGAATAGGATGAAGAATACATGTACGCAGTTACGCACAGGCACAGCTGGAAAGGATAAACATAAGCTTTTCTTTTTGACAACATTACACACTCAGACAGATCTACTAAAAACTTAATGAGGCCGCATCAATTCCAAACGTGTTTTTTTTTTTTTTGGTTTTTATTTTAAATGTTAACCCCTCTGATTTATGGAAGAAAATCTACTATATAGTGGCTCTGCCACGTAGGATTTTGCAACCACGTAGGATATATATATATATATTTAAAAGAATCTTATTTTGGAACTAGGAAATAAGAATCATAAGATTACAATAACGAAATGAATTAATGTCTCAATAGTCAATATGTGTCTAAAATGAAATGTCTCGGACAACTGCCATTTTGAAACTAAAACCAATAGTGAAATATTTCATCTTAAAGCTTCATTAAATTTCAATAGATCATCCTTTCAATGTTTAGTTTGAATGAAATAGACAACTTAAATGAAACGATATCACAGCAACTTCTGTTGTTTCGCAGATGTAAATACTGATTTGCTATGAGTCTATGACTGATTAAACTTTATTAATAAAAGCTAGAGCTTAATCGTTCAAAGTTTAGCAAACAGTTGGTCAAAAACTCAGCCAAAAATATTTAAAAGCACAAGGAACAGTGGGGTGTGCGACGCCGACTTAAAGTGAACTGTGGAAGTACCAATCCCTCCAGCCGCAGCCATCCCTGTGGGGTCCAGCCTTAATTTCTACGTAAACAGCCCATGGCCCGACTGGGGCAAATTTCACTCCAACAACTGTCGGCACCTGTAAGTAGAATCGTTCATGCATATTCCGTAGAGTCGTAAATATACCACAGTTTTACTATTCCAAGATCCAGTGGTAAGAAATTGATCATTCTTAAGCGAATCAGTAAGAATTATTCTCTTCTAAATGATGTGTCTGCATAAACCACATTAAAAATAGATTTATTTAGATCGTACATGAATTTATCTAGATATGTTACGGTTATGTATACAAAACACACAATAATTCTATTAAAATGGGAAGAGCACGTACAATTTTAGCCTCGTAAAAAGACTCTTTCTTTAGTGTGAAAGAGTATGAACCCATGTATAAGTGCCTTATGTTACCAGTGGTGCTGTTACAAATAAATACAAGCTTGTACAATTTTTATCCATGTATAAAAATTAAAAAGACTCTTTCGTTATTAGTGTTAAACAGTAAGGTGTGTTGCTGACCATGAAAATAACGCACGAGTTTACTTTTAGAATATAATGAGAAACAGTAAAGGCCAAGAAATTAGCCATGTGCTGAAAGGAACAAAGTCAAAGTATCCAAAAGAATTAGTAACAATGTTTGTTGAAGTTAGAGATGACCTCACTTAATTAAATAATTATTGTAAAGTAGTACTACTACGTTATACGGATGTCCTACGCTTCGTCCACACAAATAGATTAGACGACTAAGTACGTACCGAAAAGGCAAATAAATAATTTGTCAAAAACGCTAGAAAAGTCTTCTCTGCTACCTCTCTCTGACTCCTCCCTTTCTTTTACGTGTTTTGACTTTCACATTTTTGAACATCTCTTCTTCTCTATTTGTGTTATTTTCCCCACCCCCATATATATATACACATCACTTCCTTCAAGTTCAAACCAGAATAATTCACATCAAATCTTCTACTTACTACTCAATCATCAACATCTTTCTACTTTTGAGCACACCAATCCAGATTCAAAACCCTCAAAATCTCCATCTTCTTTCAGCAAATTCGGAAGTACTTACATATATCAATATTATGGATGCGGTAGTTGATGTTCCGCCTTTTTTCCTCTGCCCCATTTCTCTGGAGATCATGAAAGATCCGGTGACGGTCTCCACCGGAATAACTTACGACCGGGAAAGCATCGAGAAATGGTTGTTTTCCCAGAAGAATACCACGTGTCCGGTCACCAAACAAGAGCTCCCGGATTCGGAGTTGACCCCAAACATCACTCTCCGACGAGTTATCCAGGCCTGGTGCACGGTCAACGCATCTTCAAATGACGGGATCGAAAGGTTCCCGACGCCAAAGGCCCCCATCAGCAAAGCCCAGTTGCTTAAACTCCTCAATGAGGCCCATAACCAATCTCCGCAGATCCAAATGAAGTATCTCAAACGACTCAGATCCATTGCCTCTCACAACGAAACCAACAAACGGTGTATGGAAATGGTGGGAACTGCCGATTTCTTAGCTTCCATAGTAAACAAAGTCGGAGAATCCGAAGGCTGTACGACGTCGTCGTCTGAGTTGACCAAAGCGAGTGATGAAGCTCTAAGCCTTCTTTGCCATATCCAATTATCAGAAGATGGGCTTAAATCCCTCTTCCTAAGAAACTCCAGATTAATGGAGTCGTTAGTCCGGGTCATGCAACGTGGCAGCTACGAATCACGGGCCTACGCGGTTATGCTACTCAAGTCCATGTCCGATGTTATGGACCCGGCCCAGATGACCGGGCTGAAATCGGAGTTTTTCGTCGAATTGGTCCAGATACTGAATGATCAGATATCTCAGAAGGCTTCCAAGTCGGCGCTGAAGCTGCTGATGAATGTTTGCCCCGGTGGAAGAAACAGGATCAAAGCGGTGGAAGCCGGATTAGTCCAAGTACTAATCGATCTCCTCGTGGATTCGACCGAAAAGCGGGCCAGCGAAATGATGATGGTCGTGTTGGAACAGCTGTGCCAATGTGCGGAGGGCCGGGCCGAGCTGTTGAAACACAGTGCGGGCCTGGCAATTGTGTCGAAGAAGATTCTTAGGGTTTCTCACGTGGCAAGCGAGAGGGCGGTGAAGATTCTTCATTCGGTGTCCAAGTTCTCGGCGACGTCGTTTGTGCTGGGAGAAATGTTGAGTTTAGGGGTGGTGGCAAAGTTGTGTTTTGTGCTTCAAATGGAGTGTGGGAGCAAGACGAAAGATAGGGCAAGAGAGATACTTAAGATGCACGCTAGGGCTTGGAAGTCTTCTCCCTGCATTCCCTCCAGTCTGATCTCTTCATATCCATGATGATCGAATTAGTCACCGTCAGAAATTTTTCTTGTGTAGATAATACGATTCATTCATATATGATCATAGAATTAATTGATACGGGCCGAAAATTTAATTTTTCGTTTTGGCGGCCATAGGAAACTTAAATGATGTAATTGGACATATACTGATTCATTTGACGAAACAATTTTTTTTACGAATTGGATGATTCTACAAAGAGTAATCTCGATTTTGATCCGGCCCTCAATTATGTTCTCTACTAGTATAGTGGTTTTATCTTTCGTCATCATGAATGATCGTTCTTGAGAGTATTTTCATCATATATAGTTGGAATAGTATATGTAGTGATATTCATTATGTGTTATGGGAGTTGTAATTAATTTCATATATAAATATATAGAACATATACATATATACATTCATTTTCCTCCAATTGTGCTCCTTGATTTATCAGTTTTTTCAGTTGTATGATTCAAGTTTTTTTTTTTTTTAAAAAAATTTTTGTGAAAAGGGTATGATTTAAGCTGTACAAGCCTAATGTTGAACTTTTAGCTTTCCCAGTGGAGATGTTTTTTTCCCACCTTCTTTTGTTTTTTATTTTGTTTTTTTTTTTCCTTGGGGTGTTTTTTTTTTTTTTTTTTTTTTGGGGGTGTTTGATTGGAGTTCTGACTCCAAGTTGCACCGGCCACCGGCCAATAAATTAATTAACAAAACTTTTCCATGGCTCATTCTGATATACAAAGATTTCCAATAGGGTTTTTTTTTAAAAAAAAATACAAGAAAAGGTTTGGTAGGTCTAATCTAACGATTAAGTCGTCTAGCATTGATCAAAGTAGTTGATCAGTTCATTACTTGATTCAAATGAAAACGTCACATAAGAAAACAAGGAAATAATGGTGTACATAATTTGCCAGAAACCGCGGGCAACATTTTAAAATAATAATATACTAGTAGCCTTATAGCCGGTAGTGAAAGAAAGACTTTGCGACTGGCATCGGCCATCTAAATGAATTTTATATTTATTCCTGCTACTATACAGTTAGAAATTTTAATGAGAAAATAAAATTAGATTTAGAGAGGCCAAGCTGGGCTGTAGCTATTGCTAGCTGCACTTTCTGGTTTGTTCAATTACATTTATAATTTTGGTCATGAAACATATGAATCATAGCCGCATTTGTGGAATATATATGGAGAGACAACTACACTTCACGGGCAATTTGAGAATTCAAGCGTCGACGTTACGAGAAACATGGCTTCTATATCTTCAACAATTGTAAGACAAAAGTCATTTTTATATAAATCCAATCACTGGCATGAAAATTGGTCAAGCAAGTAGTTCGACGCATATTAATACTCGATAGAACAAAAAAAAAAAAAAAGAAGAAGAAAAAGTCTACGGTATTGAAATTCTTAGCAAGAGATGTGCAAATAGCCAGTACTCCCTCCGTCCCATAATTATTGTCCAGTTTGGGTTTTCACTTTTAGTACAATTTGTATTAAAAATTAAAACTCAAACTGGACAATAATTTTGGGACGGATGGGGTATATATTTTCTCTTATTTGGTGATTTTTGTTTTCATATATCCAGTATAGTAGTCGTTTAAACATTAGATTTACAAATGAATGAAATGTGCACTCGTGTAATTAAAAAAAGAAAAGAGAAAAGAAAAAGGAAGGGGTGGGGGTTGAAGAGGAAGTGACACTTCTAATTTAGAGATTTTCTACTTTTTTTGGAAATTAGAGATTTTCTACTTATTATTGAGTAGGACTTGGGTTTCTGGGAAATGTCTACCGAGGCGATTTTGTGTACTCAAAATGATTCCTCTAGAAGAAGAGCAGACAAGACAATATCACTTCTTTGTACGCGTATGAGTATGTGTACGCTAATAACTCGTCTTTGCTCATATCATTTTGTGATAAATAAGTGAGTTGAACTGGGATTGGACGGCGTTTGATACTTAGAACATGCTTTATTACTCTCGTAGTTAAATATTCTTTTGTTTAGTTCATAGGATTAGGAGATATATAGCTCGTTTTCAGACAGAGAACGCTCACTAGTTAAAGTTTGTAAATATACTCTTTCATTAATTATTACTGCCTGTATAGAATTAGCTACGATTTAGTTATGATAATAGATCAACCAATTTTCATTAGCACTAAATAACAAAAAATCAGTATTCTACACGTCAGACAAGAAGACAAAACAAGAAATTGAAAAAGAAACTAACAAAAAATTGCATTACTACGTTACGCATATAGGGTCTCCAATCCTATCACATTGAAGTTAAGGTAACTCTTTTTGACGGAATGTTCAACCGATATAAACTTTTAGGCTATTGAAATATGCCTTCTTTTTTTTTTTTTTCTCTTTTTCATCTATTGTTTTTATGAAAGATTATGGCTATTGTACTGAAAAGGTAAAAAAAAAAAAAAAAGGGAAAGCAACGAAGACAAATTACAAACTAAAGTGGCATATGGAGAAACATTTTACTCGCTTTTTATATATTTTTCATTTTGGCCAATCCAAGCAAAAATTAAAAAGTGCACCGAGGGAAGAGTGATGCGTTTAATTAGTAATTTACAAAGGCGATTAACATTAAGAAGAATAAGACGAACGTGTCACAAACTCACAAGTGTGTGTGTGTGTGTGTATGCTTTGACCCATGTGAGTGTTTCTATTTGTCTTTTGCTATTCTTTGGTTTTTAATACTATTTGGTTGTACCCATTGGGGATTTCTTTCCGTGATTTTCCAACATTTATTTGCTTCCCACCAATCTAAAAGTAACCAGATTTCACATTGACTATAAACCAAAAGTAACTAAAAACCCATGTTTTGTTCTATCGATTCAATTCCACAGACATGTTATGAGACAGGTCAGGTCAGGTATTTAAGAAAAAAAAAAACAATACTTCAATTCGCTCACTTTCTTTTTAGAAAGTATCAAAACTTAGTTTCACTTGAGATGTTTCTACCTATATATTCTCTAATATATTCTTATTGCTTTCACCGAAAGAATTATATTGATTTTAACTATAACTAAATAACCCACTAATCGTTAATAAGAGTGTATTAGAAATTTCACTTAAAATTAACCATGTAAACTATATAACTTATTTTTACTTAATCTCGATCTGTATATGTCCAAATGAACCTGTTGAATTGGAAAGAACACAGTAGTACTCCCTCCGTCTCATAATTATTGTCATGTTTGGATTTTCATTTCTAGTTCAAATTGAACTAAAATTGAAATCTCAAACTGAACAATAATTTTGAGACAGATAGAGTATTAAATTTACAAACACAAACTATTTATACAGGATGTTTCTCTAATTCTTGATTATTTTTTCTTAAGTAGTCTCATAATAAATGAAACTGGAAGTTTCATGAATTCATTTGTGTTGCGACTCGAATTTTCTAATTGTGACTTCCTAGTTTATACCATTACTTATAAATTTTCCTATGGATGCATTGGACAGGACTGTGGGCTAAAATTATAAATGTTGTTGAATTTTACCTGCTCAAATATTTCTAGTGTGTTTGATTCTTTCAGGGGATCCAGACTCCAGTCTTCAACGGCGTTAAATTTTAATTCAGCAGTAGACTTTACATGTCGTAAAAGTCCAGTACTATGCACAACAAGTCAAAATAAAATTAAAAGTTGGTCGATGATTCTTTCCTAGTTCCACAGAAAATGTTTTCTTTATTCGCTGCAAATTATTTAAATCGAGCTCCCGTTCACACACATGCGCACATATATCATGTATACTTTTTTTTTTTTGGAATAATATCATGTATATTTTCAAACTCACATCATATATTCCCTCTGTCCCAAAATGATTATTCAATTCTAATTTTCTTCTTTGGTTCAATTTGTACTAAAAATAAAAATTAAAATTGGACAATAATGTCGGGATGATTTGTTTTTTTGCCCAAAGTACAAATTACTTTCTCCATTTAAAAAAATAGTTCTCATTAAATTTTCTAGATTATTTTTCTGAAATGAACGAATTTTTTTTTTTTCCGATGAAAACTGCATACTACATTTAATAAAGTTTACATCACGTTAGATGTTGCTGAGGTTTAACAAAATTGACTCAACTCGAATTCTAATTACTACTATATATTTGTCAACAATCAAGGGGCGCAAAAGAAAATAGAAAGCGATCGAAAGTAATACTAAATTCTCACATAGAATTTATTATTTTATGTTGTCACTAGTCCTTTTTATAAACCATGATTTGTAATTGTAACGGTCAATGCGAAAAGTTAGATAGACGATTATTTGGCTATTTTTTTAAGTGAAAATAATTTCTTAAAAAGATAACACATACGTAATGAAAATTATTACTCCTTTTACTTTTTTTATATGTTGTTTTAGGGTTTGATACACAAATCGAGACAGATTTGATCACATTTTACCGACATTGTCCTTGCATTAGAATTATTTATAATAATTGTTTATTAATTTGTGATGAGTAGTATACATAATAAATAAGGATGATTTTGTATTATAACTATATTAATGAATATTTATTTGGTTTGATGAATTCTCTGTAAATACTATATAAAAAAGAATGAAGGGAGTACTTCTTATTCCAAAAAACAAGTCACTATAAATTTGAAAACTCACATATTTTATTTTTTTTAAATAGATATTGAATTTTGATATTTGTTGTACTAAAAAATATAAATCTTAAAATTCTTGAATTACAATAATTTTTAGAGGGAGAGAATAGTAACGAACGAAACAATTTATCCTTCGGTAGTCTAAACAAGTTAATTAATAAATGTCGATTTATGCGTCTAATTAATTGTATAACGTATCGACGTTGAATATGTGCCGATTTGATTTCAAAGCTTCCTTCCGATGATTTTTTTTTCTCTTATCAGTTGACTAGCAAGATGTATCTTGCTACTAATAACAAATTCAGGTGTTCATATTATATTTATTAGCTAATAAAAGTAACAACATGAGAAAATCCTAAAAGAAGATGGGAAAAAACGTACAAGAAAAATATATATTCTGGTATAGAAAAAATTATCCACGTTATGTTAATATTGTTTTAATTGAAAATTTTTTTATTTTAATAGGACTAAAAGAATTTCTGATAGATTAAAAGATTACGGCTGCACGAGATCATATCTTGGATCCTGGGCTCATTTGGATATATCATGTGAATCGTTGAAATCCATGCTTCTGTAAATTACTAGTGTCTTGGTTTCTTCAACTCAAAGTTCCAACTTTACAAATTCATTTCGATTTATGCATTCACAAAAGCACACCGTAGAAGCAACAGGCATTTTTTTCCCCCTCCGGTTTCGTGCATTTATATACCACACCGAAATTAGTTCTCATTCCACCGTGATATACTTCTTTCAGAAAGCAAGTAAAAAAGAATGTCTTAATCGTTATTTTTTACATATACAAACTCATGAGAGAGGGCAATATATATTTTTTTGAAAACAAATATAAAATACTACTTATGTCCCCAAAGAATAATACACTGAGTTTTGAGATTTAAACAATTTTATACATGTACGAAACAATGATTAAAAAATACTCCTCTCCATCCCAAAAAAAAAAATAGTAATTCACATTGAGTTTAAGATTTGAACTAATGACAGAGGAAGTATTTCTGAATCATTATTTTGTACATATACAAACTTACTCAGAAATCATACCTGCTTGAGAAAAGAACAATGTTCTTATCTATTGACACTAACAATTGTTGAAATCAATTGGCTTCGGAATGATAATTTAAACAGGCTCCGGATGCTAATTATCTATGATGGAAATCAATAACTACCTACAGAAATCTTGTACACTTACAAAACATCTCTTCATTCATAGTACATTAATATATAAAAATATGTACAAGACACTGAATTTTTTTTTTCCCCTGAAACCCAAAAATTTACAACTTACAAGTGCCCCAAAGGTAGCTCAAAATGGGGGTATATAGTGGAAGGTAGGAACCCTAATGCAATTTTCAGGTCATTGTAGCTGGAAACAAAAGGGGATATTACGCATGTCTATATAGTCTTATTATATATTGACAACATATATATGCTGATGATCATCAGTAATTTTTTTTTCCCAAAACCGCTTCACTCTATATGCTCTAGATGTATATGAATATGTTTAGGTGGATCTTAACAAAAACACAAAAATCAAGGCCTCAAAACATTGCATAACTCAATTGGCGCATTGATCACTTGGCTTACATTTTCATCCAACTGCTGCTTTGGTGGTTCTGCTGCTGTTGTTGTTGATGATGAATGTGGGGGTAATAATGGCTGTTCTTCAAACCCTGCTGATGACAATTGTTGTTGATTTGGATGCATTGTTTGGGTCGGGAAAATCAAGTCATTGGAACTCGTTGACCATACCAATCCTTCAGACACAACTGGATTAATGCGATTCAGCTCTTCACCAGGCAATGGTGGCAATAGACCATAATTAATGCTTGTCTGATGATTATTTTCCATAGTATTGCTACTGATAAACTGACTATAATCAGTCTGCTTCCCAATGGATTCAAACCCAGAAAAGCAAAATCCATCATTACTAGTAAAATGTGTCTCTGCGGGAGACTGAAAAGAAAGAGGCCTACATTGGTGATCCACAACAAATCCAGTAGTACCATTTTCTTGAGGTAATGGAGTTGGAAATTGAAAGGACATGGGGGGCAACATTGGGATCTCAATTTGAGGATGATGTTGGCGATGGCAATGAGAGGAATAATCCTGAGCCTGATCAACTGCAACCTGATGATGATCATCATCATTAGGCCCTGGTTTCTGATTCAAGAAATTGGCATAAACCAAAGCAAGATCAATGTGATTTGAACCGGGGGCCTGATGATGATGATGATCAGCTGTTGTCAATGAGGAACAGCCATTGGAAGGGGGAGATAATGTCGTTGGGGTGGTGTTGTTCATCCCACTCAGGCCTAAAGCGGCCGCGGCCATCGCTGCCGCTGCCCCACCACCGGAAACACCCCTTTGAGGAGGAGGAGGGATGGTGCGGAAATTATGTTTAGTCGCACCTCGCCGGGTCTTGCGACAACCACCGCCCACGGGGACATTGCGGAGGGAACCACCTTTAGTCCAATATCTTCGGCAACCTTTGCAAAAATACCTAGGTTGTGTCAAGCTATAATTGTTGTAATAACAAAACTTGGTGTTGGAGGAACCACATCGAGGGCAGGTTGGTGAAATCTCAACGTGGGGTTTCCATCCCCTTTCCATGGATTCCACATGCATAGGGTGGAAGAGGCCTGCTTTCCTCTTCACCCTATACATGAATTATCAATATGAATCCAAAAGCTAGGTATATAATATATATAATTGTATCTTTCGATCCTTCTTTCTCTCTCTCACTTGTTCTCCATTTTGGATCAAAGATGAGAGAGAGATCGCTCAGATAAAAAGAAAAAGATATGAGAGAGAGAGAGAAATGGATTCGATTCAGTTTTTTGTTATACAAAATGAAGTAAATGCAATTTGTTACATTGGGATCTAATGATAATTAATGATGATGAAGAGGGATTCTTGCGAACATATTCGAGAGTGGAGGGCTATATTATTTACATGCAAAATGACTCAAATTGATTGCATTAGGCCTATAATAATAATAGTATACGTAGTTAACACATTGAAAAAAGAAAGGCAACCCCATATGGAGTAAGAGTGTAATAAACACGAGACCGTGCAGTCTCGGATCATGGGCTTCTTGGATCATTCAAATCTTCAGTTTCGAAAGTCATGTCGAGAGTTAGATTTACTATCACTCAACAAATGGAAAGTCAGCAACTGCTCTTGTTATTGAAAGATTAAAAAAAAAAAAAAAAGAGCTAATTTCGTATCCCATAATCAAATCAGTAGTGCCCGATGATAGTGTATCATTTACCCAAAGAGCATTAGTGATAAGTTTAGTTCGAAAGTGTGATATGATAGCCTGAAGGCCCTGAAGTCCTAAACCATACATCTAACTTGTGAATTTTCTGATGACTATCCTCTTCCCTTTTCTAATTTCAGTGAGAAAGCATTTAAACTGCTAAAGAAATATGAATTTACAATATCTTTCCAACAGCACAAAAACAAAATCTGAAGGAAAAATAATATAAAGAAATAAACTGCCACTGCATGTACAATTTTTACAGTTTTGTTGTACAGAACATTAGCGGAAGAAATTCCCCTATGTCAAACGCCAGACCAACAGCTTTTGCAGTTATCACCATGTTTGCACAGCCTAAAAGAAATGCCTCTATAATGTCTACCGTATCCGCAGACCGCTGACACAAAATCAGCACAAAAACGCAGTTCAGCAAAGCCACAGACGATGACACAGATCAGCTCATGATGGCAGTTTGCTACCCCAATCTCTCCTGGCAAACCAAAAGTATATCATTCTCGTTGTTAGACAAATCCATGAGACGGATAAGCACGTGAAGGGACGAGTTTATTACAAGCATCAGTATTGTAGACCACATCAGAAAAGAGGGAATTAAACAAATTAACTCAGCTCACAAAAGTCATCAGACAGCATCAACTTTCAAAGGATAAGAAAACAACAGAAAAGCTTCCAGTCCAATTATCTCGCACAAAAATTCTAAAAATGGCGTTTCAAAACTCAACAGAAATTTAAAACAAGCATTCAGGAGTAATGCAAATACGAGAAGGAAGAAGTTAGAATGTCATGAATACAGGTAACTTCACTTAAATGGCATGCAGTCTGTAGCAAATTGTCTCACCAATTAGAAGTTGGTACGTCTTTTCTTAACACAAGAATATGCATGAGGTTGAAAAAAAGAAATGGAGATAGAGAGAGATCCTCAAACCTGAAGCATCTCCATTAACTTCGGATGTTGTTCCAGAAGTAGGGTCAGTTTTTCACGATCACTTAATAGAGCCTGCAAAAGGCAACCAAATTATGACAACAATAATCTACCTAAGAAATTAAATCTTTTTTCAGCCAAACCAGACATACCTGAATAGCTTCAGGGGACCTAAAAATCTCTTGAAAGATCATTCCAGCATCTTGTTGCTGGGATGTACCATCACCTTGCGGTTGCGGTTGCAGTTGTTGTGGTCGAATCTGTTCCTGATGTTGTGGTTGCATTACATTACCAGTCTCCGGTGTCTGATGATACATGTGAGGTACAGATACTTGGTGCGGCAATTGAACCGGCATTTGCAAGGAAGACCCAACTTGTTCTGTTTGTGGGGAAATTGGAACTCGGGGCCTAATACTCTGTGGTGTGGACAGTGGATGCTGAGGTGGCTGCAGTTGTACCAGAGGGAAAGATGGAACAACTTGAACAGACGGCAAAGGCATGGGTGAATTTTGCGACATGTAAGGTGAGTTCTCAAAGTTTTGAGGGGCCGAACTATACACAGGTCTATAAACTGGGCCATAAGAAGCAGATGCAATATTGCTTAATCGAGCATCACTTGAAGTTGTAACAGACTGGTTGTACACAGAAGTATGGGAAGGCTTAGATTTCGATGAGGATAATGTAGACGAGTTCATCGAATAAGGTGGTGGTGTAGGAGGGAGAGGGGGAGCAAGTCTAGTGGATCCACCTGGAGAAGAAATGTTGGGCTGATTATTTCTGTACGTAGAGTGGAACTCTGACTGACCCTACAAAACATAAACCAGATCATCCTTTGAAATATATAGAAACAGAATTGCAAGACTTTGTCAGAAAGGGGGAAGTTACTACTCACATGAAATCCCGGAGGCAGATGGGGCTGGACATCAGTCATCGGGTTAACATAAGGAGAATGATCCATATTTCGAGACAATGGAGGAGAAATTGTTGACTGCTGTGGCAATGGAGGTAAAGGTGGCTGATTTAACTGAACTTTCTTTTCATAAAACCCTTTTGAACCAAAGGCTGAAGGTGAACCGCCAGGTTGTGGTGCTCCCACTTTCGTGTATGAATTATTTGTTGTCCTAGGGTCAATAGGCAACTGCGAAGATGCATTGTTACCCCTTGTTGAGGAAGCAGGAATTCCAGTAGGCAGAGTCGAGTCAAGGCCACTAGAAGACTTGATGACAAAGTTCTTTGGGTCATCAGACGGATCCGGGAACTTCTTATCAGACGAAATGCTTTGTTCTCGAGTCAATGACGCATCTGGACGGGAAACTGACATCCTTGAGGAAAATTCACTGGTAGTGTTTTCATCCATGGTTGACGTCACTGGTGCCGTTTGTTGTGAAATTCGATTACTGTCATTAGCATCACTCTCTGTTTCTTCAACAATTGAATGAGGCGAATTTTGATCAACCACAACAGGCGCAACCTGTGGCATATTATCATCATGCTGAGGAAACGGCAACTTATCGTCTGATTCAAACTCCTCTGCGTCAAAAACTATATCTATATCATCATCAAGTTCGGGTTTCAGCTGTCTGGATTTACTGGACTTCTCTGGAGTTGTGTTGCTTTCTGGAGCTGTTGATTTTGCTTTTCCAGTTACATCAGCAAGTGTCATCCCCACTGGATTCTGCCGGTCACGCTGTCTAGCCATAAATTCATCAACATGAATAGATGGAGGTCTACCACTGGAAGGTCCTATGCGTTGCACAGCAATTACATTGGGATTGTTCTCCCTTGCAACATAATCATCAACATGCATAGAAGGAGGTCGGCTGGTGTTTGGTTTGCGCAGTCGGAATGTATCCCTTCGAGTAGGCACTGAAGTAGCAGGGGGCAAAGAGCTCCGTGAGAAGGTACTCTGAGTAATAGTTTCTACCGAGGCATTTTCTACTCTGGCCCGCTTACTAGTCCCATCCAGTGAGGACATCTTACGCTTAGTAATTTGGCCTGTCTCTGTCAATCTATCACGTAAATTTTCAGGAAAATCCCATGCGAATTTATCTCCAAATTCACTCAAGTCGTGATCCTCCATTCTTTCGGCAGAGCCATCAACAATTTTATGTACTCTAGATGAAACCTTCGAAGAAAGACAAGTGCTTATGTCGACATCATCAGCTTTAATGGTATCAAAAGGCTTTTGCAACAAAAGCAATAATGAGCTGATACATTTCATCACCTGTATACCAGGAAAAAATATACAGTACAAGAATCAAAATTTAGAAGTATAGAAAATGAGAATATGAAATCATCACAAGAATCAAAAACACCCATCACTTGCCTTAGGTCCAAGGAATTCGGTAAGATCTGGCAAAGACTTCACGCTGTTATCAAGAAAGGCATCTATGCCACTTCCATCCTCCATAACTCCAAAAAGATACTTTATCGCAGTTACTCTCTCCAAAATAAGGCTAGAGATCAACAACACAACATCACATATCAAACACTGTCAAACAATAGATCAAGACTAAATGGATATAATTCTGAAGACAAAAAAGAGATGTATCAAAATAATGCATATGAGAACTTCTAAAAGAATTTAATTTTCCAGATAGGCAACTTGGATTTATAGTGGTCTGACAGATCCCCTCAACCAAGCCTCAAAGAGAAATCAATACACACAAATATCTATAGACTTCTGCCAACAAAAAAAATTAATCAATAACTAATGCTCACATGAAAAAAAATAGAAGGAAGAAGAAAAGCAAAAGAGGAAAAAGAAAAATACAGAATTTTTATCGCATCAACCTTTTTATTTGTTCTATAACTAACCCTTGCAAAAGCATAAACATGCCCATGAAGCACACAAGACGTGCATCTTAGAACCTTTAACATGACGACAACAATAACAGCAACCAAAAAAAACAAAAAAAGAAACACACACACACACACACCCATCAAACAGACTATTTTACAGATCCAGCAAAAAATATTTATTACTTCCACAAGTTCTTGCTCATAGCAAGGTGGAGAATTAACAATGAAGGGCCTTCACCCATTAACAGCTTCTGTCCTCACAAAACGAAGCTCGGTAAAGGGAAGTCAGCAAAAACACATCTACGTATTAAAAAGAGTTATTTACAGGATCAAAGTTAAGAGCCTCACCTTTCTTGATCCATACAGAAAAGTAAAGCTCCCTTAGACAACTGACCAATGGCCTGAACAGCATATTCTGGTGAAACATCCTTTGAAACAATTGACATTAGGAGCCTACTCAAACATTCTTGCAAAGGTGGATGAGCCCTCCATTCATGGGCATTCACAATCTTGAGATCTTCATCATCTCCATGTCTGCCCTCAACTTCAAAATTCTCACCAAGCGAGGACTGAACTTTCAGAAAAATTGACAACAAAGCAGATCTCCCCTCAGTGGAGGAACCCAATTCTTTGAAAGCAGATAAACAGGCAAGCATCTCCTTTCCAATTGGCAAGACCTAGCAGATAAAAAGATCATCATCAAGAATAAAGTAAGATAAATACACATCAGTTTTCAAGAAAGCATAAGGTATATCAAAGGCACGTATACTCAACTTGAAAGGAAGGACATCATAAATTTCTCAAACCGAAGACCGTGTGTGTGTGTGTGTGGGGGGAGAAGAAGAAGAGAAAATGATGCTAAATCATGATTCTATTGGCTACTGTCATTGCAATGCAAAGACATGGAAGGCCTCCAAAACTAATTCTTCAGTAAATGAGTCCAAAAGTTCATTAAATGAGAAAGCATGGATCCAGTAAGGAAATCAGCTCACATTCCTCGAACAGACTTCTCAACAAGTAGTACGACAACAAATCATTTAAGGCCAGAATAGAACCATAATGAAGCTTTTATCCCATTACGTGGACTCAAACCATAGATCATGTGAAAACCAAGCATATGAGGTAAATGTGTTTATATAGTGACTGTAACAAATGCTGAAATGCGAACCATAGAATTCTGATTCATTCTTAATGGTGATAATACAGCAATGATGGCGCTTTATTTCACTGTCTAAGCTCCACTAGATAAAGATAAGAAAAGAAAAAATTTTCTGGTTTAAGTACAGGTATTCATTTTGAATAGTTTCTGTTCGGGCTGTCTCAGGTATTAGCCTTTCCCTTTTTGTTTCAGGTAATAATTTCTTAAGTCGTGCACATTGCAATCAGGAATAATGAGATCACTTATGCAAATATCTGAATCACTTTAAGCTCATACCTACCTAGCCAAATCTATGGCATCAGTGAACAATGAAATTATTACACTTGGGGTCAAAATGCAAAACCGTTGCTCTTCCTCAAAAGACTTCTTTTTGCCATTTAGATAGAGCCGTGAATTAAATGAAAACTTGGAACTGAAAAATTATCTAAAAACACCAGGCCTTACCTTGAACAATTTGAGGAGATGTAAAAGAATCACTTTACATTCATCGCTAGTCAAATTTTCGGGCAAATGCCTAAGAACCAGACAAAACTTTGTGAGCTGAAACGAGCAGGAACATAAAGAAGGAATGAGAAAATAAGAACCAATGTTTTATTTTGAACATAAGAACCTGACAAGCATCCCGGGGCGCGAAGATGTCCGACAATCACAAAGTAATGAAATTGACTTGAAAAGAGGAAGGCACCAAGAGGGACCTGAAATACCAAATTTGGCCATTTGTATATTTTCCGGAATCTGCATGGCATGTGCTGAGATAACTTCATCGCACCTCTTAAGCACTTTGATAAACATCTCGATTCCACCTACTCTCAAAACCAGTGGCTAAAGAAAAAAGTGAGTGAGTACACAAGCATTCACCGGAACTAAGAATTATATGACCAAGTTCGAGAGTTTACCTTAGCATGTGGATGCTCCAACAGAAGAGAGAGAAAATCAAGCAATTGGTAAACCTGCCATAAGTAAGCATAAAGCAAAGGTAAAGACATTAAGCAAAAGGAGATGTAAGAGTGCTAAATCTTTACAGAATGTCCGAAAAGTAGATGAGACCTTATATGAATCGCAATCAGATAAATGCTTAGAGATCCACTTTATTACAGGCCGCAAGAGAACTGAAGCATTATCAATGTTGTAGCAGGCAACACGAACAACAAAGACCCGTATCATGTCTTGAACAACAACTAGTGTCTGTTTCAAAAACACACAGAGAGAGAAAGAGGGAGCATAATTAGAAGCCACATATAAATTTCTGTTTTCACTTTTTAAGGAAGAGGTAGACTGAAAGTAAGTTTAGAGGGATGGCGAGAACACGGGAAGGCGTGCCCATTGTCATGAAAAGTCATGGTAACAAATAAAAGATAAAAGCATGCTTAAGATGTAATCACATACACTGACAGCACAGTGCAGAATAATCTCCGCAACTTTCTGCAGCTGAGGAATCAGTTGATGGAGGAGCTTTTCACGACGGCCAGTCTGCAAGTACCAATTTATCTGCTTCTCCTTACGGGGCCCCAGAAATGTTCCAACAGCAAATTCTCGCACGATACTCAACATTGGGAGTCCACTCTTCCAAAGGTGGACATTTTCATTTGGAAATAGGTCATTCTGTAAAACAAAAATATAAAGATAAGAAGCATCTCAAACATCACTCCAGACATGGAGAAGAGATTAGAATAGATACTAACCAATAAGGAAAATAGGCTGTAAATTTCCTTTGGACCAAGCGTCAGATGTGAAGCTGCATGCAGATTATCAAGTAGAAACTCGAAGAGGTCAGGTTTCCAGCCATAAATTGGCCAACAAGCTAAAGCTGACACAATAAGATGGCAAACAGCTCCAAAGCCAAGAGCTTCCATTTGAGGATAAGACAGGTCAAATGGACATGCGGCAAGTCTTGGACTGCACATGAAGATTAAAACAACTCACTCCCAAAAGTCCAGCAATTAATACATTAAGGAGGAATGGAATATTTCAGATCACCTCAATTCTCGATGCAGTTGTAGAAGTGCAGTGACTAATTTTGTGTTTCGATGCTGCTCCTTCGCTTCCTGAAGATGATGAAAATTAACACTTCCATCAAAAGAACAAGATACAAAAAATACATACATATATATATATAGGAAACCTAAGACCATATGGCACTAAGTTTTCCAGAGGTTACTACTTCCAATGAATGCTCCAAAATTATTTCAAAATCTTTTATCCTTGCTTAACCACCATACTCACATATTGAAACTTCAATGCAGAGCATGTGGTCAAAGCAACTGACCATGGCACCAGCATGGTAGTAACTTTTACGTACCTGTAATTTCTGTAACAAATTAAGCAGCAGCACCAAAGAAGGAACCAAAAGATCACTGATGCTTCTTTCACGGTTGCGCTCTAGAAATACATCTGACGTCGCATTACATTCAGTACCCTCATCAACAAGGTAATCTGCAGCAGACAGCAAAACATTTCAAAATAGCTGAAAACAAATCTCTCTTTTAACCAAGAAAAAGAAAAAATAGCTCAAGAGCACATAAGCAACTGACAAGATCAACTATCTACGAACAGCAAGGGTCTACCTAAATGGAGAAAAGGAACAACTAATAAAATGTATCGACAGTCCACAAACTGCAGGAGTAGGTTAGAAGTTTAAAGCCGTGATAGATCAGAGAGAATTCTCAGCACCACAGAGATCCTTACAAGACGGTCTTAGAAAAATTTACTATTAGCATTACCAAGTAATTTTCTAATACGTGCCCCAAAGAGAAGTCCCTAGTTTAATCTGATAACCAGAACACTAGATTGCAGGACCTCGCTATGTACAATCATTTTCATGCCTGATTACACCAGAATGTTCTTTAGAGACCAGGATCTAAATTTCAGCCTTAAGTAATAGAGGAAGCCAAAAGGTAGCATTTAATGTTAGCAAGTCTAATCCTCATTGGACGATAATATATGAAGATGATAAAGAGCTGTAGAAAAGCATGTTCTAACAGAACAAAATTTAAGTACGACAAAGAAAAAAAGAGAGATTGTAACTGTCAACGACAAATTAAATTCATGCAAGTTAAATGCTCGCTAATGATATTGCTATTCAAACCAGAAACAAGGGGATTCGAAGTACAAATGGTTTACATCATTTTCACTCTAAATAAATCCTGACTCAGGGTTCCCTGGTATCAATCAGCATTGGATCTTGCTCACTTCCCAATTTCCTAATTGTTATTTTCCTGTTTATAATTGTAAATTGAAATGGGAACATGTTTCAGCAACAATGCTAAGCGAAAGATGCATATTGCAAAACCAAGGAACGGCAGAAAAATCATCATTATGCCAGCAAGTATCATCTAAATCTAACCATCCGCAACATGCAAGTCAATAAAGGAGTAATCTCAAATTTAATACTGACCGTAGATATTAGACGATCTCTCCAGCATAACTTTACAGTTGATCAAAACAGCATGGATAACCATAACAGCACCTTCATCATAAAGAGAAGCGGAGACGGCCTTCACAATAGGCAAACAAAGTATTCAGCATGACCATTCAACAAAGAATAATCGGAGAAAAATAAAATGAATAACCTCTTACAGAATTATCTGAAATGAATGCTAAAATTCGAAATGCCGTAGTCAGTTGAACGATAGAAGCTTCGCGGAGAATAACACCCGGAAAGTCCTTCTCCGTAATGCGTTTTCCCAGTAGACTATCAATGACACTGCCATCAGAGCCAACGGATACATCTCCCACAACATTATCTGCATCCATCATATCAGAAGCAAGAACGCTAGTTGAGGCCATATGTGCATCACTTCCAGAAGCCAAGAGCGCAGCATAGCGTAGAAGGCCAATAGCTCCGTTTCTATGGTAAACTACACCAGCATCTATCCATTCTAAGAGCCTAGCAGGAGCATCTTTTCTATTCGACCCAGGTGAAGAGGAATTTAACATCCTATGAAGTTCATTAGCATGGTCAATCCATGAACCCAGTGTAGATGCACTAGAATCAGTAACCATGACTTCAATTATCTCAGCTGCAGCATGAAAAATTGCGAGATTTGATGTTGATGAACCTGCAAATAAGGTTTTCAGCCAGTTAGCAGTAACACCAATAAAGAGGTGAATCATAAACAAATATAAATTTGCAACCCTGATTGGTTAGTTAAATACCTGAATTCAAGGAAACAGCTTCCAACTCCTTTACAGAATGCAATGCAGCTTTTAGTACTGAAAGAGCCTATAGAACAAAGACAGCATCCAAAAGATTACGAGATAGAAAAAGATAATCAGCGACAACAAGAAAAATTCAGAAGCAATTTGTAGAATATAAAGGGTCAGAAATAAGGGACATTGATCAGGAGATCATACTAATTGTGATTTTCGGATACAGATACTGAAAAAAGAGTGCTTCATCCACATAACAAATCCCGAATCATGGGTACAGAGCCAAATAATTTTCATTGAATTTGTTAACCTATAAAGGGTACAAGAATGAAAAGCTGGGGTTACTCAAGTAACATTCAATTATACCTCTGGAAAATGTATCAAAGACAACAAAGCCTGACGACCACAGTCCGACCTGCAAATTATTGAAAAAATATTCAACAAGTCCTGCAAATGACAATAACAAATAAGATAACGGCATATAATGCAGCAACTTACCTAGATAGCCTGCATAGCTCCCACAATATCCACAAGAATTCTTCAGTGTTTGGCGTTGATCTGATTAAACGATCTATAGCGCTGATCTGCATCAAAGACATAAGCAATGTTGATGATGCCAAACCGGAAGCAGTTATCCAACTTTGACAGAGAAACAAACTAGATGTGATATTGCATTCTAGCAAGCACTCCAGAAGAATTGCAAGCAGAACAACAAAATTGCTAGTAGTTCAGGAAACTAACCGCCTTCAAATGTGTCTCAACAATAACTCCAACTTCTTGTGGATGACAAAAAAATCCCCTTGACATCAAGATCGATGCATAGCGACGAGATGCAGACTCTTCCACATTCCAATCATCAGCACCCCTCAGGGCACGAATTATTGTAGTTAAGACTTCAGGATCAGATAGAAGAAAAGTCAATCCTGAAATGACATTGGAAAAGAACAAAATCAACAAAAGCACACTATAAGCAGAAGCACTCAGCTCTTGAGATTTAAGTTCTTCAATCATCATACCTGAGCGACTGGAGAGAAGTGAGAGGATGATGGCCTCTATGTATGATACAATGTCCATAAAAAGGTTTGAAACATGACCTGCCGTAGAACGCAATGCAGAACAAGAAAGAAAAGCCGCAGACAAAGGGAGGAAGCCTCTCTCCTGCTCACAAGGAAAATATAAGCAAAGACACAGTGAGGAAAGTATACAAGAAAGACATTGACCAGAGAGAATCAACTTTTTGAAAACTATAGAGATGGAAAACACACCCACAAACTGAAGAATGGCCCATGCCCCCACATAGACATGCAAAGAAAGTCCCCAATGATTCAAGAAAGGAAAGTGAGGGATACGAAAAAAAACAATGGCAGAATATAATTATAGTTCTCAGTTAGCTCAGCAGGCAGCCCGTTAACACCTGCCTACTGCAGATATCAATGCAAACACACCCCAAAGGATCAATAACAGGTTCAATAACTCTGACTCGACATTTGACTCCAACATCAATGAATTTATCAATAATGCACCTTATATTCTCACTCCTAGCATACAGGATCGAGAACCTAGGTTCTTCAATTTCATGACGATTTACAAAACGATCTACTGTTTTCCCGTTCAATGAGCAACAAAAACACATTCTTAACCTAAACGTAGGGCAACATTGTCTTATCCACACCAGGCGCAAGAAAGTAAGTCTCAAACCAAATAATCATCAGTCTGCAGGATCAGCTTGTTAAAATGTTCAAACTAGCATGTAAATTTTGATAAATTCTTCCATCACAAGGTCATCAGGTTCTATAGATAGGATTTTCATGACTTCCAGATTGACAAAATCAATCCCCCTAGTCCCTCACGAGTAACCCCCAATTCTCATAAGATATTATAAGACACCTCCCAGGTGTCGATGGACTTGTAAACAAAGATGGAAGTGTAACAATTACTTGTTGGACCCTTAAAAAATACAACGGGTGAAAATGGAATCCAAATGGAATGTAAGGAAAAATAGAGCAAGATACCCAACCTCTATTCCATCAGCCAAAACAGGAGACATATAAACAAAGTGAAAACGGATTTTATTGAAGAAGAGCTTTGACTTTTAGAAAAAAACTAATCAGATTAAAAAGTTTTGAGTGCAAAGATAAAGCAGTAGAACAATAAACGATGATAATAATGTTCTTAAGAAATTTAAATAAAGCAACGAAATATAAGAAAGATGCAACCCAAATGCTTTTAGTTAACAACTACCTTAAGGAGCAGAAGCAAATGCGAATCAATATCACACTTCGAAAAAGAAGAATATGACTTATTAATCAAGGCGCTTGTCGCTTTATATGACAATGGTCCATCACCAAGAATCAAGCTGCTACTTGCATGAGCCACCGGAGAAGGATCGTCAATTGGGCCACTTGAAGTAATTAAATTCTGCATCAATACTTGTCACAAACACATGAATAAACAACTCTTTTGCTGTATAAAAAAAAATAATTAAAAAAAATGGAACAATTTTATCAAAAAGCTATAACAAGAATTATGAGATAACAAGCATGAACAGGACTTGAGTTTCGTAATTAATAGCTGCAAGGACTTACAAATAGTTTTTTGAGCTGGATTTTAGCATTAGAAAGTGTGTCTAGCATCACATTTGTAACGTGTCCAACTGCAGAAAGCCCTCCAAGTGTAGATATAATAGCCCACTGCAAATGTGACAGACTGACATCAGAAACTCATTTAGCCAAATCAAAACAATAAAACTAAATCAAGCCTGCTAATAACAACCCTTTCCACCTCAAGCAGAAGACAAAGGGAAAAGGAAATTAATCAGTTTTAAACCAAAGAATTAACCATTTACCTCATATCTTGAGGCAACCTCATAAAAATGTAGCCGGTTAAGTATGTATGCCGTAAGAGAAGCCACATCATGCCGTTGACTCTGCAATAACAACCTCAATAACTGATTGTAACCTTCACTAGTACCCGAAGGGATGCTTTCATCTTCCCGAGGCCACCAGCCAAGAAATCCTTCACAGCCAATTGAATGTCTGGTGGCTTGTTCAACAACCCCAAGCAGCAATAATCTAAGAGAGAGTGAGTTCTCTATGTCATGATTAAAAGCAAGACTAAGCTTCTTCATACCACCACCATTAACAAAGTGAAAGCAGCTCTCTCGGGCAGAGCACAGCAAAACAGCCACACTAAGCCACAGTAATGCATTCTTACGCTGAAATTGAGATTTGTAAGACAACCAAAGAAAATGTTACTAAAGTGAAAATTTTGTTGTTCACATGCTTTACTAGCAAATACATTTGTAACAATGAGATCTGAGAATAGAAATATGTTACTTAATCCAGAATCAACTGAGAAAGAAAATCCAAATCACCTTTGAGAGCAACGGATGTCTATCGTTTCCAGAATAACAACTGAAGGGAAAATGCAAGCTTAAATTATCCACCAACTGTTTAGAAGTAGCCACGTCTGCCTCGGATTCAAGGAATTGAGCTTCAAGAGAGCCTGACTGCTGATAGTTTTTATACACATCCAAAAGTTCCTTTTTTGCTTCATTTATTACATGGTCGAAGTCCCCAGTCTTTTTAAACTTTTCCATCTCAAAATGTTTCTGATTGATAATCGTGGAATACAGATGAGGATCTGTTTGTACCAAGGCTACAGATAACAGTGAACTGATTACTTTATCAAAGGGAATAGCACGATTGCGAGACTCCAAAATGTTAAACATTAGTTGTAGGAACTGCCTGACTTCCACAGGAATATCGGATTGAACGACTTTGAGCGATAACTTCCTCAAAGAAGATAGAGATTCCTCAATTGTCAAATTATTAAGACGGAGTGCAGGAGGCAGGTCTTCAAGGTCACCCTCGGTTTCAGTGACAGTATGTGCTAGTGAGTTATCCAAGTCAACTTCTATGTTAAACTGGCCTAAATCTTCAGCCGTGTTCCCGTATATCACCAAGCTCAGGCTACGATAGCTACCTCTTATCACCAAATGACTGGTTACCATAGCCTACAACAAGTTAATGCAATGCTGTCAGCTATACTAAAAAGAAGAACATGACCCAATGGTAGAGAGCATAACAAGAACCAGCATAATTAGCTGTGATTGCATCATAAAGCACCAGTAGGAAGCAAGTAATCTTGTCCACAATAAATAATGGCTAGTGATTCAATATTTCTATGTATCTCAGCCAGCAAAAACCACTTTTTTAACTGCCAAGACGGTTACACATATTTTCAATCTGACAATCTATCCACCTTAGCACCTTTTTTAAGGTTTGCATTAACTGGCCCAACACCATGATATATGCATCCTGGGTCTTATGGCTGTTTCATAAAGTTTTCCATAGGATATTGCTGGTTTTACAATGACAACATACAGAAAATCCACTGCCGTCTTGCCTAAGTACTATGTGCAACGCTGCCAAACACAGACGATTTAAAGTTGTAGTATAGAAACATTTATATTGGCCCCCCAACCATGAGCCTATAGTATAATCAAGGATTCATGTCGTGGAATTCATGCTAAAGGAAATGAACCCTTACACACAGGCCAAATCAGCCCCTATTTCATCATCAGAATAGGTGCACTTAAATGCTAAAAATGGAGTTTGAAGTTTTAAGAATATATCTTCTTTCAGAAGCTTAATGAAGAACTCTTCATTGAACGATCTAACACATACCTCAACTTCAAGCACATTTGATGAAGAATGTGAATATAAGAATGGCTGACATAGCCGCCTGAACCTGGACTCTCCTTCACACTGGACAAAAACCTCTAGAGCAAAGGAAGGAGGAGAGGAGGCCCTGTACATGACAGAAAAAAAATAAGGGTTTAAAAACACCAGAAAATTGTTCTCAAGAGAAAAAAAAAACAATTTTGAATACATCCAAAGAAACGTGGAGTGGCTTTGGTAGAGTTTTTACATCATTATGATTTTCCCAAATCACACTAAATTTAATACCATAAGATACAAGATTCAAATATTTATGCAGGACCTTCCAAGGTTAATAGTTAAGACCCCCATTCTTAATCAAAAAATATATTGAACAACCAGTCCAACGAAGACAAAGGACTTTCACAATATTAATCCAGGTATTAAGTATCTCTCCAGGCTCCAGCAACAAGGTCTCCGTCAATCATGTCCCAACAAATAGTTAATCATTTTAAGACTAGAAACGAGTGCAAGATAAGTGCAGCAGGATGCCTCAGCAAAAATAATATTGACGTGAATGAACCACGATTAAAATTCATAAGGTGATTCCATTTTCTGTGTCGATGGAAATTACCATCGGTTTCCAAAGCAAAGTGAAATGATCCGTATGTCCTTAGCATTTAACTGACTACACACATTAATCCATCCTCTGACTACACACATTAATCCATCCTTCATTCTCAAGGTTTAATTACCAGAAAAAATGTAAACAAACACAAGCAAGATTGCAGAATATAACCCCCGCCAGGAATGTAATGCACTTGAACATTTTGGGCATTACAATATTTATGGTGTCAGGTAAGTACTTCTTCAATTATTCAACTTAAAACAGCAGGAAATGGTATCACTGATGCTGAAATACATGAAATATTCACTCCCCATTACTAAACTAGGCCACTCAGAATTAAACAAGTACTGTAGCATTTTAAAAAAAACACACACAAAACTTGAAAACAGTAAAGAAACCCTTACCCTGAAAGTTTAACTGCAGAACACATTGATGAAGAGTTCTGTTCCAGAATTTCACATGCATTGATAACTACAGGCTCTGCAAATAAAACCTGAAACAAAAATGATGATAGAGACTTAGTTCCATAAGCATATTGCCATTGGATCTTTTATAAGCTGATCGACTAGCGTCCACTAAGTAAGCATAATTTAAGTTGTCCGAACAAATGGCCAAATTGAGATTGTGAAGAATTGCCAAAAAAAAAACACAATTCACTGCATGAACCTAGCTCAAGGTCATCACAGTTACTAATCACTACAAAATGCAATACACAATTTTATTTTATAATTATTATTACTATTATTATTTGGGAGGGGGAGAGGGGCGTTAACAATATTTCCCCTGCTGTATAAATAGCGAATTGGTAGATTCGCCCAAAGTTTGGTCTGCATAGTCATTGCTACAAAAAAAAAAAATCCAGCAAGTGTTCCGAATTTTTAGGACCTACAAGTATATGTGGGAAAGATTGAATGGAACTACCATCCCCTTAGAACCATTACCCAAACAAAGTCATTCATAGCTTCAATAAATCATCAAAAAATGAACAAGAGTGCATCCTTTGTCTAAGAGACATATCCCGCTCTGACGATTAGGGAAAGAACATGACAATTGACACGATTGCCCAACAATTCATTCAAATTCATAATTGCACGTTAACAATAAAAACAAACTCGTTCTTCCAGACCAATGGCAATTGAAAATAATAATGAACAGGGAGCACAAACACTTTCATGGTTTATTAGCAATAAGAGTAACTATTTTTTAAAATTAAAGAAAAAAAGGAAAGAAAATAGCTCAGTTTGTGAACATCGCAAGAAGCCGGCAAAAACCATGGTCTTCCGATTCTACATACGAACTTAAAAGAGCTATTTCTAGCATCCTAAGTGATTACCAGACTAGAAAAGTGAACACTTAAGTGTAATGAACGATGCGGCGGTGAGCTTACCTCGTCGACGTACTCATCGAGAGTTGGGTGAACAAAAGTCTGGGCGAAGAGCACGGAAGGCTCCGGCGGACCCACCGTCATCTTTAGAACCCTATTTTATTCCTCTCCCGGTGTCGTATTCCCTCTGTTTCTTGATTCTGGGAGCGCTTCAGCCTTTCAGGCAGGCCGGGAAAATAGAATAGAAGAAGCAACAACAAGACGGAGCTTCGCAGTGATTACGGGTATCCGAATTTTACCGACATGGATGACCCGTCCGAGAAATAGACTTTGTACAAATAATAATATGGGGAATTTTCTGGGCTTGTTGTTGGGTTTGCCAGACTTAATTTCAACGGGCTGAGCGATAATGGTCAACTTCTTATAGGCCAATCTTTAGGGCTTTTATTTTAGTGGACCATCGAGGGTTCTGGCCCAATCAATCTCCTTTTTTTGATTTCAATTCAGTTCTTTTTTTCCCAATAATCCTTTTTACTTAATCAAAACAAATGACACTTAGTACACATGTGACCTTCACATAAGTTTTTTTCCTGCCTAAACAAAAAAAAAACATCTTTTGCAAAAGAATGATGCCACGTGTCAGGCGTACATCCAAAAAAAAAGGCTCCACAATTCTGCAAGATACAAAATGATCACCTTAAAACATTTCCCAATTTAAAGATTTTCCAGAATGTAATGAGATTTTAATAAATCAGTAAAAGAAGGGATATAATCACTCCCTATTTTAAATGTTCACATTAAACTCTCCCCAATTTAAGAGATTTACATTCAAATCCGAAAATGATTCCTCCAAATCTTAACTCCATCGATAACATTTCAATTTTTTCCTTTTTTAAAAAAAGAAGAGATAAGTGAAGTTCAAATTCTTTTTTCAGATACGATTCTTCTCCTTTAAAAGAGCAATCTCCTCTTCCAATACCCACTGCCGGCCTTCCTCCTCTCTCCTTCCTTCAAAATCCGAGCAACCTATAAAATATCAGTTCCTCCTCAGCCTGTTACTTCCAAACTGAAACCCAGGCTTCTCCGGCGAGAGAAATATTAGACCTTTGATGTAACGAATTATTCGGCACGAAACTACGCCTTTATGTATTTTATGGCAATAGTCGGTCATTCACTGTCCCTTCTCTTCTCGTGTCTTTGATAAACCCATACACAGTTACACACTGCCGAAGTAGTAGCCGCGTTCGTTAAGAGCATAGAGGTAAATGGGACAACTAAAACATTGTTCCTTGATCTAATAGCCGAAATACTATCATGTTGACTAGACATTGTTCCCCTTCTTTATTTTTTATAAAACCCCTCTTTATTTATTCATGATAAAATATATGAGGTTTCTTTAAAAAAAAAAATTCTTTTTTTTTTTTGGTTATTTTTGTTACAGGATAGCAAAATTTTTAGTTAACAGGGATCGCCTGAGCATTCACCCGGGGCAAGCATCTATTATCATGTTAAAACCAAGACAAAACAACCAGCAGAGGAGTTTCGAGCCATTGCAATCTACCTGAAACTTGAGCGTCAACAACTCAAAATAATCTATTATTAAAATTGCCTTCCGAAACTCTAAATTGAGAGTGGATCCCGCAAACCAGGCGACTATTGATCTTTTGAGAGTTGCATGATTTATAGTGTATCTGATTTTCGGAATAACAATTATTTTCAAAAATACATTAAAAATATGCGTCATTTTTGTTCTAAACATGCAGTACCATCTTATCATTCTGATAAAAATAATACTTCCTCTGTTTCAAAAATACTGTATAGTTCACCATTGAATTTTGAAATTTTTACTATTTTTAATGTGGACTTTTTTTTTTCTGACGAAATGAGTTGTATACATGACATTCAATTAATTCCATGTGTTAAATGTTCAGTTTTTAAGATGAGTTAATCTAACTTTTACAAATTTTTAGTTCTATAAAATTAAACTATTTTGGGCTACATATTCTCTTTACTGGATATGAACTGAGTTTCACATGTCATAATCAATTTTCGGTGTTGAAAAGACGGTGTTTCGTTAGAAGCGCGAGGGAAGTTTGTATTTGGCCTTAGCTATCTTATGGTAAAGTGGCTGTTTACGATTAAAATGCAGAGAAAAGGCAAAAACTAAACAAAATGCATGAATTTCACTTGACAAAAGTAATGTGCAGATATATAATGTCCAAATGTATTATCATAAGGTTCTCAAAAAATTGCACATCATTTTTTATGATCAAGAAGGCCCTCATATGGGGTGCTAATCAAAATTGCACTTCTCGTTGATGGAATACTATGTCGTTCGTAAAAGAAATAAGAAACAAAAATAGATAGAAATGATACAGAGGGTTTCAAACTATAAATGGTAGGAACATATTTCTGCACAAAGAATCAGCATTCCCTTGGAAATGAAAGTTACTAATATCGAACGTTTTGACTATGTAACAACTCGACCACCGCGTCTACAACACCCCGACCTTCAGTGGAGATGTCTAACCCAGGTTCTTGTATCTTCCTGTTCAGAAGTTTGTCAAGTTCCCCACGTAGTTTCTGCAAATGTCAATTCAAATTATCATGAATCTTACATCATTGGGTGGCCGCAATTACTTACCCATAATCAGATTAGTAAGCTTGAAGGATTAAACTGGAGGAAAAACAAGTAAAATTTGGCAAATACCCTTATCAAGTTTAATGTGCTCTCTGATGCAGAGAAGTGCAGATATCCTCCAAGCATATCAATGCCATCACCAGTTTTGCTTGGAGTGAGACTGCCACCAAACATTAGCAGAGCATAATCCGATATGTTTGTCGAGTCTCTTATGTAAATGCTGGCAGTTTTAACCTTTTCACTATAAACCATGTAAGGAAGAGGAAAAAGATGAACACCGGCATTGACAGAGGCAGGGTGAATATCAACTTTTCCCACATCTTTAGTATAGAGGGCTGTTCGCTTCCCTCTTCTTTTGCATTGCACAACATTTGGATAGAGCCCAGCACAGAGGATTGCACATACCATCTCCAAATCATTACTGTATCTATTGTAAAGCTGCAGAAAGCCACACAAAGTTTAAAAAATAAAAAATAAAAAAACCCCAAACATTATAAATAATAATCTTATCTCAAATGTAGTAAATGAAAATGGCATGTAATAGAAGCAACTTACATCAGGACTGTGTCTCTTATCCACAAAACCAATTTCTGATAGTAGTTCTATAAACTGTTTCCTCATATCGTCCATCATCTGTAGGGTAACTGTTGATAAAAAATTCTCCCAACAGTAAGTTCTCTCTGTTCCATTACGTTTAGCAGCCTTCCATCCTTCAAATGCTTTGAGAAGTGCAATGTGATCACTTTACCCATGAGAAGAAGATTTTAGTTTTTATTCTATTAAGATTCATAAGTGCAAATTAAAATGTAAATAAGGCAGCATTTTTGTTAATAACCTAACCTGCAGGAATCACCGGCAAAAAATCTTTTTGCAGCATCAGCTTCTTGCTTCCTATTTATCGGAAGGACAAATGGGTTACGATGAGCAAGAGCTGCAGCAATCGTTAATGCCGGATTAAGGCACTGAAAGATAGAACCCATGAGAAGCATTTTTCCAATATTTGGGTCCAGGGGCAGAGTGCTAAGATGGCGTCCTAAGAAAAAAAAAACAACCTGTTAATTCTCCTACATCAAAACTAAAATCCCGTAGAAGAATTAGAAACTCACCAAGTGGGGTCAGCTCTTCAGAATCATCCAAAGCTCCAATTGTTTTCAGAAGTTCAACTGCATTCTGAACAGCAAGAGGATCAGGGGGTTGCAGTGCCTTAGACAAAAACGAACTGATATCTCCTAGCTGCAAGCTCTTGATATGCAGACACAGCTCTTGCAAAGGTGTTCGAAGTATTTCTGGAAGTTGATACTGAGGCATAGCATCATAGATTATTTTAGGGTACAATCGATAACAAACTCCAGGCTGTACACGTCCAGCACGACCACGTCTCTGTAAAGGCCACAAGAAAGTCAAACGAAAAGTAATTCAAAAACCAATCATAAATAGCAACAAGAAGCCAAATAAATGAACATTTGCATACTATCTATACAGAATCAATCAAGTGCTGAAACCCAAGCAAACTTAAGCATACCTGATGTGCCGAAGCCTTCGAGATCCAGGAAGGTAGGAGAGAAGCCAGTTTGTTAAGAGCATCATAACTATTTTCCTTTGCCTTCCCACAATCTATAACATAGACAACATCATCTATGGTAATACTACTCTCGGCAATGTTAGTTGCCAACACAATTTTCCTAAAAAACAATTCAGGAGTCGACCAGCATTAGTACACAAACTATATAATTAATTAAAAAGACAACATTTGTCACAACCAATAAAAAAAGTACAATTATAAATGATAATTCTTCTCTAAGGAGGACAAATTTTCATGGATCTAGAATACACACAGAATACTAGTCGAAATGGCATAAGCATGTCTAATGTCTACCAGAAGAATGGACCTAACAATAATGGAAATCCATATGAAATATTGCATTCCAGATCATCTTTTATATTACTTTCTCCCATTAGGCAGAGAGAAATGTCCATGGAAACAAAATGAAGGCAGATAAACAGAGAAAATTAAGTAAACTGCTAACAAAAGAAATTTTTTACTTAATAAACAGAATTATCATAACAACCTATGTGCCATGAGTAACAAGTTTCTTTTTTGAAAAAGAAAAGAGCATCGATCTTAGAATGTCAAAGGATTGGGTTAAAGTTGGCCGGAAACTAGTCATGTCATGATGAGCAAAAGACACATCAGTAAAAGTGACCTCATATTAGGGGGTGGACGACTGAAAATTTCACGTTGATTGACTGTAGGCATTGAACCATGAAGAGGGAGGACTAAGAATTTGCCAGAATTCCCTAGAAAGTTGTTTGCTTTAACTTTATCAAGCAGCTTTGTAATATCATCCCATCCGGTAAGGAAAACAAGGAGCGCTCCATCACTTTCATTGCGGCAAATGTACTCGATGGTTGATTCTATCTGTATTATAATTATATATTTACATAATGTTAGCGTAGTAAATCAGTTTTGAGCCAAGAAAAGGGATAAATAAAGAACAAGTGGTACAGTCTTCATTAGAAAGTTAAGGGAAACATCAAAGATGCGTTACTTTAGCACAACAAGATATTAACAGAAGATATGTAGAACATAGAAAGGGAAAAAAATTTTGGAGATTAAGGTTCCCCTCTTCCAGTTGCTTAAGACATTCAAATCAAGGAATTCAAAGTTTCTGACTACAACAAACAAAGAAGAATTTTGACTAAAAAAATATATCGAATCAAAGTCAGCTAGCATACTTGATTGAGGTTCTCAGTTGCAATCCAAATATTTTTTATGATCATAATTAAATTTTAGAATAATTCTTATTTAAAATAAATCTTAAAAATCTTACCATGCCTGCCAACTAAATTAAAAGGCTAATTATAGCTTTACTAGGGAACCCCATAACTTCATTAGAAAATTAAAATAGGTGAGGCACATTGTTAACCAGAAAAAAGAAAACCAAGTAGTTCATTTTATTACTTGCTAACACAAAGTGTTGCATAAAATAAACCATAGTTTATCGCTGTTCAAATATGTAAAGAAAAAATAGTTCAAAATTAATGGGGAACACTTACAAGACCCAAATCAAGCTTTGAAGGAGACCATGCTTGAAGAGACTGTCTTGTACTTCCACTGTAACTTTTGTAGTGCGAATCAATATCTGCTTCCTACAAAACCAGAGAGCATACATAGAGACGTTTAGAACAATAATCTTGGCCTAAGGGGGAAAGAAAGGAGCAAAATTCTCAAAACACGCTCAGGTCAGCTTGTAGCATTTCTATTTGATTTATCATTTTAATTTTCCGGTTTAATACATCACACAAAAAAAATTAAAAAAAAATTCCACGTTCGAATTTGACTAATCCTATAACGTCACTTCAAACGAGAATGTTACCCTCCCCAAATATAAATTTCTATTCTCCCATCGACTAAATTGAAACAATGACGAACATAAATCCTAAAGATTGAGAAAATATAATATCCAGAAAGCACAAGCAAACACAAACTAATAACTTGATGGAATTCTGGATTACTGGAAGTGTGGATGTCAACCAGACACAACTAATTAAGGCTTTCAGGCAATGTCAAGTTCTCATGGAAGAAGTATAAAGGGAGACTTTGTACGGTTACCTCCACTGACAGGCTCTTAACCTCATAACCAAAACTAAGTATGATTATCTAACATTATGAATGAGTTACTTTCTTTACCACTACAAATAAAAAACAAACAGTGAAATATAACAGAATCATGCCTCAAACAACTCCGCTAAGGGATCTGCCTTGTTGTTGTTCTCTTGCTGTCGCCTTCTTCCCCTCGAATTTCCTGAAAAATTGTCAGACTCCAATGTGATACGGTAACGTGTTTTCTCCAATACATCCTCCAGGAATAATTCAGCCACTGGATATACAAACCCCTACAAAGATATTATCATACTAATTAAAACACAGTGAATTTTCTTCATGAGCATAAGTAAAAGCACATGTGACTACCGGGATACTAATGGTTGGTGCATTTCCAAAGTATTGGGAGAACAAATCAGCATTGATTGTAGCACTCATTAAAACAAGACGCATATCAGGCCGACGAGGAAGGAGGTCTTTCAAAATTATTAGTAGGAAATCCTCGTTGATGCCTCTTTCATGAATCTCATCAACTAGTAGATAGGTAACTCCTTCTAAGTATGGGTCCTGAATCTGAAAAATCAAAAGAAATAACGGGAATGATGATCAACAAGTTACGCAGATCATGATCTCATCGAGGCATAGGTCAAGAATCACAAGCTGAAATTCCAAAAATCGAACAGCTGCCCGAAGCATAAATTAATGAAGTCAGAAAATTGAGCAAATTATAAATATTTTATCACTCTCCGCACATGTGCAGTGGGACATAGAAGCATACGCAAGCATTATGAAATAACAGTAAACACGAAAATGAATTAGTAAAATGAACATTTAGAAGGATCACATTACCAAGCGTCTAAGCAGCACCCCCGTGGTGCAAAACAATAATCTTGTTTGAGCAGACCGATTAGATTCCAATCGAATCTGGTAACCTACAGATTCACCAAGGTTCTCTCCCCTTTCCGAGGCTATTCTAGCAGCAACAGATATGGCAGAAATACGACGTGGTTGTGTACAGATTATGTTGCAACTTGCCCCACGTAGGGCTGATATCTCCTCCTCCAAAATAAATTGAGGTAGCTGTGTTGTCTTACCACAACCTGTCTCTCCAGAAACAACCAATACCTACATCACAATCACAATCCCACCAATGATTACTACAAGTACGTTCAGAAAAAGGTAGAGAAAAACTCCACCTTTAAAATATACCCCACAAAATAAATTGGCGTAGCTGTGTTTTACTTTATCACACTGATTAAGCCCAAGCACATCAATGTATGTAAAGAAGCCCAGTAAGAACTCTCTTAATCCACAACAAGATGAAACACACCTGGTTGGACATAACTGCCTTCAAAAACTCTGACTTTACTTTTGATGCAGGAAGTTTCTCCCGGAATAAAACCATTGCCTTCACGCTTTCACTCTCCTGAAAACTGAATCAGTAAGTAGCTGACAGAGAGACCAATGAAACTAGCCATCAACCAATCAATTCTGTAAGATTCAAACCATTTTAATCATTTAAAAACCATACCCTCAGCTTTTCTTGTCTCTGTTTAAGTTCGAGATTAAGTTTGTCCATGTCTGCATCAGTCTTAGATGACTTAAGAGGTTCCGGCACCACTGCTTCATTGGACGACAGTTTTGGAGTCTGAGAGGGCGTCGAAGAAGGTGTGGCACTATCACTAGCATTTCTACGCTGAGAACTTGTAAGCAGTTGTCCCACTTTTGACTCTGTCTCTGAAGACATCCTTATCTACATTTTGGTGCAATGATGTGAATGCCATTACAATCCCAAATCTACAATCAGAGTAAAGTATCCTATACCTCTTTTGTTGAGGACCCATGACGCTCATCAAGATCAGCCCTGTAGTCTGGCAACGGAACTTTGCTGACAACCAGTGCTCTTCCTTTGTTGTATGCATGGCTTTCTTTCCACAAACACAATAGCATAAAAACAAGTGTAAGAAAATTATATAAACTTCAAACACCATCTTTCAAAAGAATGGTTTGGCACTGGTAGTGATCAGATTTTGAAAATGACGAAGCTAATGTCAAGCACTACATATGCACATCTACAACTACATAAATAATAAGTCCTAGTGAAAAATGTCCAATTTATGTTAACAAAAGTTGGAGATCCAATCCAAGTTTTACTGACTCATGATTTTCCCAAGTCAATTCCTCTCTTCATATTTTCACCCCCTAAAACACATCCTTACCAATCCCACGTACAATATCTACAATTTTGCAGATCTGCCCGTGGTCGGAAAAATACTGAGGGCTTTTTCGTTTTGCTGGGGGGTTGGTTTTGAGTTTTTGACCATAACCAAGAATGCATTGGAGTGTGAATCCATGAAACAACTTACAAGTAAAGCCCTAGTTGATAAGCCATATCTGCCAGTATATCTTGGTCCTCTCTTTTGAACCTCCGCTTTATAACCATCTCCTGCTCTCCCCCTCTCTTCATTTGCTCCAACTTTCCCCACCATTCATTTTCATCCATCACCTCCATCTGCATAAAAATCACCCACAAAAGGATTCACATAGTGAACAAGCAATTGAGGTAGTCTTGTTCACTGTTCATACTCGTGCAACCACAAACAATATAATATCTAGTACTTTTTCTGGGCATATTAAATTATGCAGAAGGTAAAAAATAGGACCAGCCATCCAAAACTGGAAAGAGTACCATAATTGGCAACTGAAAGCCAAAATTAACAAACTTTCGAACTTCAACCAGTTAACCCCAAAATATCAAACGCACATATGCTGAACTCACAGAGAATAACTGGTTCCGCCAACCAATAACAGAAAAACTAGTCAAAATCAGTTTTATGTTACAGAATATAATTAAAATAAGAACCTATATTTGATCGACGAAGAAAACAAGTAAAACCGCAGGTAGATTCTGCACAGATCAAGCCAAAAAAACCTAAATCCTCATCAAGACGGAATTTGTGTTCATGAATATTTGATCCTAACCACTAACTATATCTCGAAAACTTCATTTAACTTTTTTAACTGATTAACTCGCAGGATCATCCATGTACGCATTAAGAGGTGAGGTATGCTATACCTCAGCGGCATTTTGTCGGAGGCGTTCAGCTCTCCAAACAGGGTCCCACCATCGCTGCTCACCACCACCGCCACCACGTCCACCTCGGCCGCCACCTCCACCACCACCACGGCGGCCTCCTCCTCCGCCGCCGCGCCTGCCCCTTTGCTGATTCGGGCGATAAGACATGACTGAGGTAGAAAATCGGCCACAAATTGAAGTTGAAGATGGGACTGGAGATAGACGGAGTAAGGACGGGGAGTTTCGAATGAGGAGCGGAGGAAGAAGGAGAAGCCCATAAAATGAAGCGTTGAGTAAGGGTGGCATAAATATAGAAGAAAGACCACTGCAGTTGGAACGCACTCTTTTTCTATACTTCTTCAATGCGGAGGGCGTTGCAAATTGGATACGCGGGGAAACTGTGACGTCACTTCTAAGTCCCAAATCTTTTCTTCCTTTCTTTTCCATTTATTTATTTAGAATTCTAAAAGTATTTTTTTATGCGAAAATTTTCTTCTCAACGATTCGTAATAATAGGACCGCCCATGGATTGTCCTGGCAATCTGATTTCCCGAAGTTTATATTTATAATGTTTTTCCAATTGAACATAAAATTTTAAAAATATACTTTCACATTTATTGTTTCTTTTAATTATTATGAAATATTTTTAAAATTTCATTTCTCATTCGAAAATATAATAAATAAAACCTACGATAAATTAAAATGTCTTATAATAATCAAAAAGATTACTTAATATTAATCTTCTATTAAAAAAAAAATTACGTATCCAATCAAAATGGCGGATTGATACAATATATGAGTGAAAATAGTCAGAAACAAATCTATTTATAGCGTGAAGTTACTTGTTAAAAGACTTATTGTGTGCTTTCAAATGAAAATAAAACTTTAATATATTTTTCACATTTATTGTGTTACTTCAACATTAAATTATTAAATTTGTACTATTTTTAACATAAATTTAAAAATTTAATGTAAACTACTACCTTCGTCCCACAAAAATAGTCCAGTTTCAAAATGTACAACTTTTTTACTTTAGTCTACAACTCCATTTAACGTGTAAACTTCTAATTTTACCCTCGTTCGAAAATTTTATTAGTCACAGTTAATTCACGTTGTTTTATTTCCTCGATTTTCTTTTTCTCCAAACCGAGGATCCACCCGAAGACCAACGCCAGTGGTCTCCGTCGATTTTTTTTCTTTATTCTCTCCGTCTTATCATTTTCACAATCATTCTGAATTTTTTCAACTTTATTCAAAATCCGTGATAACAGTATACACAATTGCACTAATCGATGAGAATGGAATGAACATCATCCAGGGAAAACCCAGATTTTCTGAGAATTAAGTATAGTTACAAAATCCTTCAATTTTTTATCTTCAATAGCTCTGGCTTGTTCAATTGATTCTATAGTTTCTTCAAATGGTTTCTCACTGTTTTTTATCTATCATAGAGCACCCCATCCCGTATCAATAATATAAACTGCAGCTATCAAAACTGCCAGCTAAACTGCATCGCGATCAAAGGCTCGAGTCCCCAAGTACCTAAACAGTCGTTTAAACGGAATTGTTGGGATAATGAATCCCTTATCGCCGCCGTGAAAGATCTTTCACATGTTTATAAGTGTCAAAGATCACCCTACTCGTTGCTAATTGGTTTTGAGATGGGACCCATGGTGACTTTGACATAGTATCACAGCCCACGATCTATGGACTTGTGATAACTATAGAACCATGTGTGCGGGTTTGTAGACTGACCCGGCAGTATATCCGGAGTTATGAACTAACTCATTTACATATCTGGTGAATTATGTTGTGTTGTGAAACCCAAATGGGCTAAATACTCCACTGGGCTTGAGGGAGGGTGTTGGAACAAAGAATCTCACATCGATGTCGTGAAGGATATGTCACCTGTTTATAAGTGTCAAAGGTCATCCCGCTCATTGCCAATTGGTTTTGAGATTGAAGCCCAATGTGACTTTGATAGAAATATTAATACCGGACTTTTTACCAAATGCTCGAGAATACCCATAGCTAGATGCTCGAAATATCCATACAGACGATCGGATTTAAGACTTCACCGGTGAAGCTTATCCACCAACATCGTCTGAATTCAAAAATTGTTATTTCAGACAGGGCAGTTAAGTCATTTCACTTGTTTTAATTTGGACTTTTTAGAAACTAGATTATTTTTTTAGGACAAAATTTTTTTTTAATCAAATTGCACTATTTCTATAGGACGGAGGGAGTATTTTATTTTAAATAAAGGTAATGATACTTGCCCATCATTTCATAATTTCCATTCACCCTGCCAACTGAAAATTAAATAGGGTGGGCAAACAAGATGATGTTGCTACTTACAATGAAACTGAGGAATAAAGACTTGTACTAGTAAACAAGCGACGTGACAGTGGTTTTAGTTTGTACAATTTATGGACTCTTTTTTGGGGGGATGATTATAGAATTTTCAGGTGAAATGAAATGTAAGTATGTAACTTTGCCAATTTTTGTATTTTGATTAATGGCAGAGTTTAGTATTATATGATAGGAAAATGATATATATATATATAGTGAATAAAAAATAGTGACAAAATATAGTGATTGGTGTGGATTAATCATGGCCCCTAATTTTTTGGCATTCTCCCGTTGAAGTTTTATTTTTTTCCAAAATTACATTCTTACCCTTGATTAATAACTAGTCATGTTTAATAAGTGTGCGGTGTAAATGTCTTTTCATTTGTCACTATCAAAAATTACTGTAAATATTCACTGTATGTATCATCTATAATCTATCTATCTATAGCCCCCATTATAACAAAAATCAAGTTTTGTCCAAAATTCCAAATGTCACATTATCCTTAAAAGTCTTCCGATCTAAAATTTTATTTTTTTTAAAAAAAAAAGAAAACCCCAAAAAACAAAGAAAAAAAAAAAGACGGCCACTATATAGTTTCCCAAAAATAAAAATTCCAAAAAAAAAAAACTAAACAAAACCTAAAAAATCTCACGTTTTCTTTGGTTTTGATTATCTTCCATGACCAACTCCTAATTTCTATCCAAATATTAAATTCCACTTATTTAAATAAATTCAGCACTTTCAAGATAATAAGGAAACTGCAAATCTTATCAATTTTTCCTCCCCAAACCAAGAATAATCTCAATCAGCCTCCGTTTCATACAATTTTCATTGATCCTCAATGGTAAATCAAACTCATCCATACGAGGGTTTTGTATAATTTAATTACATTACTACTAATGGTACCATAAAAAACACGCGTTCATCATCAACATCGTGCTGCTCTGGTGGATTACCGTGGAAGTTATCCCTAGAGCGACTACTAAAACTGCTTCTTCTCATGTCTCAAATTCTCAATCACGTCTGTCGAAAAGAACTGATGAAAATTACTATAATGCTCCAAAATCCCAAATTTCTCAACAATCACGGCCATTCTTTCCTCCTTAATTTTGGTCGTCTATCCAAATCTTTTGTGGAGTTGTGAATTAATGAATAATTGATTAGAAATTGGTTGGGGATGTTAATAAGTTCGTCTCTTCCGCCCAAAGAGTCCTCAGATCAGACCTATTCTGGCAAAACACCTTCGTCCGTGGTTGTTGTAGATGCTATGCTTTGGGAGTTTTGGGAAACTATATACCGTTAAAGAAATACGACTTAGGCAAAGGTACAATCTATATCCTTATCACAAACCTGAATATATTACAACTTTATTTAATATTGAAGTCATGTGTGAACAATCCTTTACGTCGGTAGTCTCCACTTAAGTAGGATGCGAGATTGACCAGCTCTTTTAGCTTTTCGAAGCTTGGCACTCTTCTCAATTGTGTTGCAATGTTTGGTCATGATCGATTTCGAAAAGGTTTGAAAACAATATATGTCTACTACAGCAAGTCATCAGTGGGTTATTCGTATACTTTTGAATGCATTTTTATTTGTGGATAGTTGAAGATTTCTGGAGTAGTGAACAATGCATGTAATTATTATTGAAAAGTTTATAATTTATTTAGTCTTATTTCCTTGAATTGGCATTTCAAGTTTCAAACTTTTTACAAAACTGAATTCATGTTTAGGGAGAAAACAGAATCCTTTTTTATAGACAAATCTCCTTGTGGTAGGTATTTTAGTATAATTTAGTAAATATTGGTGAAATTTAATTGCAAAAAGATTTTAATAGGTCATCATGGTCTTTCAAATATCAGTACAAAGTTCAATTTTTTTTTATCATGTGGTAGTATCATTTGCATTTTTTATAGATTAAAGTTTGAATTTGAGACAATTTCATTAATTTGTAGAGTTGAACTAATTGTATAACTAAAAAAATTCTATGCAGGTAATTAACAACGGAATAATCAAAGAGTGCATTGTCATTTTTGTGGTAGTGAACCCTTAAACTTTGTTTTCCAAGATGAGTAAAATGATAAAGAGATTTGTCCTCCAACTGAATTCGTAGTTAGCAAAAGAACAAGATTGTATCGAAATATGATAATTTTTTTGCTATATGTTACTTTTCATTTATGATATTCCTTTCTTTTGTTTTTCTTCAAACCTACTCTATCTTTTCACTAGCCTTAGTTTTTTTTTTCAGACGATACTTATTTAAAAATACACGGCCCCTTACATTGTGCGGGATGTACTAATCACTTTGCTAAGGAATGCGTAAAAGCAAATGGTGCTCCCCACATGTAATCTCCTCTCTAGCGGTTGCTACAGTACTTTCATAATTTGTAATTGATACAAAAGATAATAGTGAATTACAATACTTATGCAAATGAACGGGTCAAAAACCTAGTTCCTCTTTATAATATTATAAAATAATGTGAGTATGTGGATTCGTATGATAGTGCAATATATTTAGTTTTGACATATATTAAAAAATAAAAGTGATAATAAGATAAATTTTTTAAAATATTTATGTTCCGTAAATGATACACAAACTGCCACCCTACCAGGTGTAATTGTGTAGTGATACATGCACAAAAAAATTATAGAGAAAACTTACAGGGAATGATATGTTAGTCATCGAAACTATGCTACAACAAAAAATATTTAAACCCCAAATAAAAAGTTTAAAATGAATTCTTAAGATTAATTCTATGTAAAAATTCTCTCTAAATTTTTTTTTTGCACAAATAATTACCCGGTGTAATGGTACATGTCCAATATTTCAAAATTTGATAATTAAATTATTTAAAAACACACATGTCATTGCTCACCATAGTTTATTTAGTTGACAACCGATATTATCATCAATTTAAAAACATTTTTAGTATGATCTTACATCTCTACGACTTGA